ACGAAAAGCAAACTGCTGTCCAAGTAGTAGTAAAACGACGAGTATTGATACTCGCCATCCGAGAACGTTCGAACGAATAACCGTAAAGAAAATCTGGAACGCATCCAAGACGAAAGAAAATGAAAATTTTCGAAATTCTCCAACCGTAGCCGCGTCATCTTCGAATCTCGTCCTCCAAGTAGAGAGCAGATCGTGATCTTTCCCAGCAGGCGACCAAAGGGTTCGAGGACAGGAGAATTGGCGGCGTCGATAAGGTTGAAGCAGGGTGGTGGTTGGTTGTATCAGAAATCCATTCGATCGTCGTAGACACGGAAAACACGGGAGGCGTATCGAATCTCTCGAAGCCGCGTGCGAGACACACAAGGGTGGAAGAGGGAGTATTCGCACGTATATAGCCTAGAATTCGATAATGGAATTCTAGGTCATCGGACAATCCGCGCCGCGGGACGATACATCATCCTCCTCTCTCCATATCTGTTTCGAAACGATGATTGTACACGGCCGAGACTCGTACTCGAGATTCACAATCTCTCTGAAGTTAATTCTGAACTTTATCCGCGAATTCGATCGAGCAATCTTTTCCAATTATTCGAGAATAATCATTTGCAGAGAAAATTTGTCTTGGAATTTCAATCTTGCTGTTCTTTTATTTTTCTTTGGAGGGAGGGAGAGAGAGTGTCTAGTATTTCGGATCGATCGATTTCGACGAGATCGTGAAAATCTAGCGTGGAAAGCAATCAATGCCAAAAACGATTCTAACCCGAACAGTCCGTTATTTCAAAAAAAAAAAAAAAAAATCAAAAATAGATATCGAGCACCCTCGACTCTCGAAATTAAAATCAAAAATTCAAGAGCGGGAGGATAACTTTTATAAAAATCCAATCCGTTTTAATCCCAGTTAGAGAAGTTAACGGGTTCGCGCACAAGTGATAGTTGCTCGACTTATCACCGATGTCCGGTGAAAAAAAGAAAGAAGAAAAAGTTTCTAAACGTTAGGAGAGACCGAAGAACACTTGGAAACTGGTCGTTTCCGGTGAAAACTCCGAACGGAAATCCTCTCCCAATAGACGTGGGAAATCGCGGCAAGTTTGCATAAGATCGACGATCCAACTCGATCCAGAGTCGAGCAAGTATATAATGGCCGTCGAAGAAGTGGTCACTTGTCTTCACAATCGAATCGGTTCGAACTTCCAATTACCGGAAGTACGGGGAGAGGGGTGTCCTCAGCCATCGTTCCACGCTGATAATTCCGCATTTGCCTCGCGGCCTCGCAAAATCGATAATCACTGCCAGACTTCGACCGCAACGACAATGTAAATCAAACTCGAGGTAATTAATAGAGTTCTGGTATGCGAGGAAGAAGACACTCGTGTTTATTATTATTATCAGAAGGATCGAACTGCGACGACGACCACGACGACGAGGATGATAAGTAACATTTTTAATTCCACGATATGGTGGATATCGGGGAAAGGTAAACGTTGTCGTGAAACAAAATAAACGAACGTAAAATGGATTGATATCGATTTGCGTATCTCCTATCGTATAATACGATAAAACAGATACAATTCCCGATGATAGAGATGTAAAGAGTTTGTACGCGATATATATTAAATCTATGAAGACGATCGATCGATTCGACAAAACAAAATTTTCCTTCTCCTCTTTCTTCCCTTTAAAGAGTAAAAATAACTTTCTTTCGTATTTATCGAATCCACGGTATTCGAGCCTCCCTCTCGGAACGCTATGAAAGATTCAAACGAAACTTGAGAAAGTGGAACGTAAACTTCGTGACCTCCGCCCATTGCGAAGTTGGCCAGGTCAGGGAAAATAATTATTATTAACCGCTTAGTTGTAGTAGTAGTAGTAGTAGTAGTAATAGTATCTGTAAAAAAATATAAAAAATAGTATCTGTAAAGAAGGAGCATTGTAGCAAATATCGAGGATATTTTCCCCGAAAATGAGCGAAGAGTAGTAACTCGATGCGATAGCACAATGCGTTTAATTAAATGCCAGCATTTTAATCGATGCATACAATTAAACGGCGAGGATTCATCGATACGAAGGCATCACGCCTCCTCGTTGTTGCACCCCTCGTTCATCGATACGATATCTATTCCTTGCTAACGACTATCCTATCTTTAATAGTGCAATATCAATTGAACCACGTTCCCCGTTCCACCCGATTCCAGTTATTCGCTATTTCTCTGTACATCTGTATATCCGAACGAGCCAATTCGATCGTTCCCTTCTTCTAAACGTTCTCGCAAATCTTGAGGGGAATTTCAGAGGCTTTTGTTGTCGAAATTCTTTTTCGAAAGAAAAATTCGACTCTTTCTTCTATCGAATCCATGATCAAATTATATTACGAACAGGAATAAATCCGCTGTATTCGAAATGAAAAATGACGATGGTTAACGAGTCAGTTGGAAACTTAACTTGGTAATAAGCCGTATGTACGTGGGACGCAAACGCTCAAAAGTTTTCAGCGTTGAATTACAAAATTGGTGCTCGTAAGAGTAGCAAGTTCCAGTATACAAGCCTAAGTTCCACCCTTACGTCTTTATAAAGCCGGTTACCACCTATTTTCTAATTTTCGAGTAGGCAACGAGAGCGGGAAAATTGCCTCGCCCTTTCCCCACCTCTTATCTCGCCGCATTTTCCGCGACGAAGAATTTCGGTGTGTCGGTGTATGCGACGTAATTTTCAAATTAGCCATTGCCATTGGGAAGAAGGTGCGGTAATTCGGCAGTTCATTGTAATTTCAAACAAAGCCGGAATTTTCGTTACGCCATTATATCCGTTTCGCGTTTCACCCAGCTGGAGGAGCGATAAGCTCAATGCGAAAGGGGAAGAAGGAAGAAAGGAAGGAAGGAAGGGAAAGAAAGAAGATGGAAAGAAGATGGAGGAGGAGCGAAAAGTGTAATAAGGTGTAGCTAAGACCGATCGTCGTCCCCTCTGTGGAGCAACGCGACAAAAGCGTCCTTCCTTCTTTCGCATTCTTCTTCTACATTTTTCCATTCCCATGATTCCTCTCGCGTCACCTATTTCTGCTCTCCACCCGCGGGAAATGACGATAAAGGCGGTCAAAGGCCTACGAACTAGCTTGGCTCTCCCCGGTTTTCACGAATCCAGGTCTCCTTGAAATTAAACGCGACGGTGTTTTAATACGGTGGTGCGGGGCTTTATGAAGATTTTTTTCGTGAAATGAATGTCGACGACTGGAGTAAAATTGGGAAGGAATTAAAAAAAAAAAAAAAAAGGAAAGGAAAGAAAGAAAAATGGTGGAAAAATGGGCGAGAAATTATCTTCAGACGGTATATTAAAATATTAGGGAACCTTGTGATCTTGAGACGAAAAGAGGCTAATTTCGACTCCCGCTTTAATTCTTCATCCTCTTCCCTCCTTCCTTCTCTTATGAATTATGCGTATGAATTCTCCAAGGATTTTCTAATGAAACTACAGAAATTGCAATGGGGCGGGAACGTTTAAAATTCTCGTGCTTGATACGATTCGGAGAAAGAGATTCGCAATAAGCGTCAGTGGCGCTGCAGAAGAAATGAGACACCGGAGACAAATAAACGAGAAACGGGACCAGTCGAATCACGATTCCCGTCCCGTATCCCAAGTGAAAACGCTTCCCTTCCTTGGATGTATTGGACGAGGCGAAGAATCGTTTCTTCCACGATGATATCGAGACGAAATCGGTCGATCGCGCTCCAAGACCATATATTCCAACCGCAAAAACGAAACCTTCGTTTCAAGAGAAACGACCGTTTCGAGAGAAATTTAAGAAAGTTAAACGCGATTGAATGAATAAAAAAAAAATGATTGAGTTTGATCGAAGATTATCGAAAATATTTTACCAAAATTAATCCAACCTTTGTAAATCGAACGAATGAATTTTCCAACGATCTCAGTCTAGAAACAGGTTATAGACGAAGTCGCTTAAATATTAAAGCTACGAGAGATATCTCACGAGATATCTTCCCTCTTTATGAAAAAAAAAAAAAAAAAAATAGAGGGATATCTTCTTCCTCGTGTTCCAAACTCAATAATAGCTTCCTTTCATGTTCTCCATCTCCAGCTTGAAAGATTCACATGCATGGATCGCACAGGCGAGGATCGCATCGCGCGACGAGAAAGCAGCCTCGGCGGCGGATAACGTTGGAAAGTTGGAAAAAGAGCCAATTAAAGGAATGATTTACGAGGGTAGACGCGGCGAGGATTCGCGTTATGGTTCGACTCGTGACTCGGTTTCAACAATTAACCGTTGAATTATTTCGTTGTTCTTGGGGGAAAGGAGAATAAGGAGGAAGAGTCCCCATTGAATCGGGGACGAAAGATGTTTAAAAAACGTTTTCGCCGTTTTTCCCCGCCTTTTTCCTTTTCGCGGTAACAAAACGTTCCTCTCCTTCGTCGAGGACGCTGGTTTCCGGAGGAAGATTATTTGTTGTTGTCAACCCTTGTTTCCGATTCTTGCCTCTTTGAATGGGATATTCTCTGTCGAAGAAAGAGATTAAAACTGCATAAAAAGTGTATCGCGAATCGGAGGGAAAACGTGTCAAAGGAAGCGAGGAAATAATTAAAAGAAAGTTTCATCCACGGCGGACTCGTCCAGGTCAAACGATTGTCCCGTTTCACCTTCAACCGGACCTTCTCCTCCTGTCCTCTCTTTGAAGAAATATCGAATCAGTTTCTGGCTCGTACTTGAGAATAAATGTCCAGGAAACTGGGACAAAACTCAGGATGTTGGTCGTATACGTTGAAACGTATTCCTATTCTCGTTTTCGAGCACGCGCTTTTCTTTTCTCTTTTTCTCTTTTCGCAATTTTCTTGGAAAGAGAGATGAAAAGAGAGTTCTCGCCGCGCGTTCTCGCTCACGGCGCAGCGCTAAGAATCGGTAAAGAATCGTTCTCTCGTTTCACGTTTGCTTTCACGCCCGTCGAATATAAAAATCGCCTTGTTCCTCGGCCTGACGCGTTTCTTCGTGTTCACAGCCTCGGACCTGGACTGCATAAGGGCGCTGTTCAACGAGAAGGAGAAGGAGCTCTCATTGGCGGTGGCGAAGGTGGAGGAGTTGACGCGACAACTGGAGGAGTTGCGGGGCAGGCAGAACGCGGCCGGGACCGGAAGCGGAGGTGGAGGCGCCGGAGGCGTCGGCGGCGGAGGCGTTGGCGGCGGTGGCGGCGGTGGACACTTGTCGACGCCAGCCAGCGCGGAGCTCGAGAAACTCAGGAGGGAGCTTATTGTAAGCAAAGCCTCCCTTTTCTTCTACCTTCCCTTTCCTTTCTCGTGGCTATAGCGATCTTTCGAAACGCTTCGAGCGTTTAAGAAAAAGAGAATTTTAGAATTTTGGTGTTTTCTTCAGAGAGATTAATTTTATCGAAGAATCGAGAATAAACTCTTATTCTGTTCTTTTTCTTTTCGTCGACAGTATCGTAATAAGATGAACGAGCAGCAGAACCAAATGGTGTCTCAGCAACGGTTGGCCCTAGCGCAACGACAAGCAGAGATGGCGTCGATAGACGCGAGGATAGCTCAGCTGCAGGGTCGTCTTCAACGCAAGAGAGCGTTGAACCAACGATTGAGCCAGCAGCTAGGCTCTGGGAATCGCACGAGCGCGAACACTGGGTTCACAGAGTCGAAGCTGGACTTCAATGCCGGAGGGAAGTCCAGGCCTGCTGGAAATATAGCCGCTATTGAACCGTATTCCCATATACCGAACGACAACGATTTCAATTTGAACAAAAACGACCCGAAATATCAGACACTGCCTTACAACACCAAATTCACGGTGAATTTTAAGGCTGCCGAAGATGACGTTAATAAGAATAAGATACAACACTCGGCCAGTGCCTCCCAATTAGGTCAGAGGGCAGCTTTTCAACAATTTGGTCATCAAATCGCCCATAGCCAATCCCAATCTCATATTCAAGGTTGGTATCATCCAACAAAAATGTTCGAGATCGATCTTTAAAATTTCGAGTCTTACGTTCAATTACGTCCAATGTTTTCAGGTCAATCGCAATTACTGGGCACGAATCAACACAACCAGAACCTGCCTAATCAATCCGTGAACATGCAACAGACTTGCAACAACAACAACAATAACAACAACAACAACAATAACAACAGTAATAATAACAACAACAACGCCAATAGTACGAACAACAACCTGATTAGCACATCCCACAACTTCAGCCCCGAGGGTTTATCGCAAAATCTTCGGATCCATCATCAACAGCAATCGCAGACGCAACAGCAGCAGCAGCAGCAACAACAACAGCAACAGCAGCAACAGCAACAGCAACAACAACAACAACAACAACACGGAAACATTCAACAGAAGCAACACAACGTTGGTTCATCGACATCGAATCTTGGCACCACCGTATCCATTACTCAAACTCAAAATCACAGAAACCTTCAAACGCATCAGAAACCAATATCCAGCGTGGCGCCAAGTTTCTCCGTCAAGTCTCAAATCTATCAGACTTCCTCCACGAAAATTCATCCCGTGATGCCCCAAACTTTGAGCCTGATAGGCCGTGGACACAATAACGCGCAAAATTTCGTCGGGCTGAGCACTCAGGGTGGCAACCAGCAGCAATCGAACCAATCCTCCTCTAACAATCAAACGTCCACTCAGGACCAGACTTACTCGTCGAGGCACAACTATCCCGGAATTCAACACTCCGCTCAAGCAAATACTCACCCTGTGTCTTCGTCCTCGGCGTATCAGACGCAGAATTCTCCTAATCCTTCGTCGACCATTCACACGTCATCGAGCGGGACCAGTTTTGGAAATTCGGTTCAAAGATACAACCAGGCTCAACCGTTGACCGGCCCCACGTCCAACAACGAACAATCCGATAAGATAAAGTTCGAACAAGGAAAGGTTCAAGAAAAATTTGAACACGCCCTTCCGGCTAAACACGAACAGCAGAGGTACGAGCCCAATCAGGTGTTCAAGTACGATTCTCATCAGATAAAATATGACCAGCATTCCAAGTACGATCAACACGGGAAATACGATCAGGCCAATCAGCAAACGAAATTGTACGAACAATCGAGCAAACACGAACAAATTGGAAATCAGACGAGTCGTTACGACAACGTCGTATCGTCGAAGATCGATCAAGGGAAGTACGAAACCGGCCAGAATAAACACGAACAAATTCATGGAACGAAGTACGATCCTAATCAGAATACTCAACAATACGGTAAACACGATCAACACGAGGTTAGGCCATCGATCAAGTACGAGCACAATGCGGGATTTAAGCACGAAACAACCTCGAACAAATACGAGAGCGGGGGGCAGCAATTCAAGCAAGAATCGGTCAAATTCGAGAGCAACAAATTCGAGCAAAGTTCCGCGACGAAGCACGAGCACAATGGAAAATTTGAGATCCCGGCGAAAACTGTGGAGAAAACGTTCGAATTCGATAGATTGAAAAGCGAGAACGAAAGGAAAAATATGATAGAGGACAAGACGAAACCGGCTCTACCTCCGAAACCGAGCAAACCGAATCCCCCCCCACGGCTGACCCATCACGAAAAGATGGACAATCCGAGCGGTGATGGGATCGGCGATTGCAAAAACAATTTAGGGATCAATACGAGGTTTGTGAATATGATTTGCTCGCTGAACATTTCAATTTTCCTTTTTAATCGTCTATCTGAATCTCTGATTTCGACAAATTCATTATTTATTTTATATTTAGATTTAGAATTTAAATTTTCGACTCGGAATTTCGATTAAATCCATTTCGACGATCTCATTGGCCAAAGGGTATCGAATAGTGATAGAGCAGGGATTTTGAGCACAGCGCGTAAAAACGATTACCGGGTTAATTATAAATGTTAATTAGTTCGCGATCGATTTGGCCGGTGAATCGAAGCCTATCTCGAATAATAGACACCAAAATAGAACCACTACCGTGCAGTTGAGACAACAGCTTAGTGCTCGCGAGCTCTTCAATCGATCGAGGCGAAATCTAAGTTCCCGTTTCTCGATCGTGTTCCCTCCAAATCTTATCGTTAAATCGATTACTTTTCTTTCCTTAAATAACATAATATATTCGAAACGCGGAAAAGTCCCGTGAAAAAAAAGAACTTGCCGTGAAACCGAAATACAAAAGATCGAATTCTAAATCGAATATATAGAAAAATATCTTTTTAAAACATCAAAACTTTGATTAAACTTAATATCTTCGATGGATTATTGATTTATTAGACATTTGTTTCAAAGTATCGAACTTGTACGTTTCAAAGTATATATATATATATCGTGTCAAAACTTGGCCAAGTCTCTAAGTCTCAAGGATTATACCCACGTCTATCTCGTACTGTCTCGATCGCTCTTTTTTCGAAAATTGCAATTCTCGAGTTAGTCATCTTAATCGATCGTTTTCACCGTTTCACAGAACAGAGAAAGAAGAAGACGTTCCACCGATCCCCACGTCCGAACCACCGGAATCTCCGACAGAAACCCAATTCGGCAATCATCAAATCATCAAAGCCAGGCCTTTAACATTGAAGAAGGCACCGATCTCCGAGCAGCCGAAGCTCCGTTACGCCAAGTCGAATGTCCACGTGTCGATAAATCGACGGATTGAGATGCCACCGGCGTTTCTGTTTCCGGAAACCGAGATTCCAGCGGACCTGATGCAAACGGAACAGCAGCAACAACAACAACAGCAGCAGCAGCAGCAGCAGCAACAGCAGCAGCAACAACAACAACCGCAACAACCTCAGCAACAATCACAAATCATCGATACGACGGACAACTGCAAGAAGAGCGTTCCGATCATCAATGAAGATGTGATTAGTAATGAGAAATTGGAGGAAGCGGATATCATTGATGCGTTGAACGTTATTAATATCGAGGATAAAGTGAAGGGGAAGGATTCCGAGAGAAGAACGGAATTGGAAGTCGATGGGAAGAACAACGAGGTGATGAGAAGAAAGAAAGGGAACTTGAAGTCCAGCACGGGGAAAGCGAATCTCTCGAGAAGGGTCTCCTTTGATCCTCTAGCTCTACTGTTGGACGCCAGTCTCGAAGGTGAATTGGAATTAGTGAAGAAGACTGCTAAAGAAGTGGCGAATCCTAGTTCAGCTAACGATGAAGGCATTACTGCGCTTCATAATGCCATTTGTGCCGGTCATCTGGAGATAGTCAAGTTTCTAGTGGAATTTGGCTGCGACGTGAACGCTCAGGACAGCGATGGATGGTAAGAAGTTTATCAAGTTTCGATCGTATATTTTGTATTTTATAATTCTTGAATCACTTTGCTCACTTTGGTTTTATTGCAGGACTCCCTTACATTGTGCCGCAAGCTGCAATAATTTATCCATGGTAAGATTTCTAGTGGAGCACGGAGCTTGTATATTCGCCACTACTCTCTCCGACCATGAAACTGCAGCAGAAAAATGCGAAGAAGACGAGGAGGGTTTCGATGGTTGCTCAGAATATTTATACAGTCAGTATTAATGTAAACTGATTAATGCGTCTTAATAGAATGTATCTCTAAAGTTTTATCGAGCAAATTATACTGGTTTTATATCACGTTACAGGCGTCCAAGAGAAGCTTGGAATAATGAACAATGGTCAAGTATACGCAGTGTTCGATTACGAGGCACAACACAGCGATGAACTCACTCTGAAGAATGGTGATTCCTTAGTTGTCCTTCGGAAGGGCGATGACAACGAGAGAGAATGGTGGTGGAGCAAACTGGGACACAAAGAAGGCTACGTACCTAGAAACTTACTTGGCGTAAGTTGTCCGAATATCTACGAAACGAAGAAACAGAATGATTTATAATTAATTAGAAAAGAAAAAGAAAAAGAAAAAGAAAAAGAAAAAGAATAGAAATATAACATTAAAGTAAATCCTTAAAATATCTTTGATCTGTTCTTAATAATATTTTAATAATGTTTATTTTATAATAATTTATTTTAATTTTTTTCAGTTATATCCAAGGGTGCAACCGGCAAAGATCGACTGAAGCGAGTTTCAGTCAGCGAACTCATATCCGATGATTCATTACCACAGTATTCGATTCGCAGCTTTATCTTGTTAAGTATCATAGTTGCATCGTCGCATTACGGATCGTTATATTAATTTAATCGCGTCCCATTGTCATCCGAATAAAGCGAACAGAATGTTCTATATAGTTTTTTATATCTTCTTTTCTTTTTTGTAAAACGAAATGAATATTGCTAGTAAGTACGGATCATGGGTGAATCACGTAACATAAACAAACAATTACAATATAATTAAGTAAAAAAAGCGAAAAAATGATAAACTACACATCCTACACATGCGTAAAGTTTAATTGTTCTTATTTTTTTTTTTTTTGACTCTTATCTATTTCTTTTCTTTCTCTTTTTAAATTAAGATATAACTCAAAGGATGATATAATTTTGATTATAATGATTTTTAACTAATTCCTTCAATTGAAAAACAATTCAATACAAAAATAAAATTTCAATGCTTTTACCCGTGATTCCACTTTTAGCTCGACGGTCGCATAGTCAATAATTGGAATATTTACGTTTTAATATCCAACGCCTAAGTATTGCGCCGTGATGAAGATCATTTAAAAAGTTTTTTCTTAGGTTCATCCTAATCAAGTCTCGATTAAGAATGTCCAATTGAGAATATTTACAATTTTATTTATTTTCAATAAACGCAAACTTTTTTTATTGTTTGTTTTTATTGTTTGTTAATACAAACATAATAAAAACAATTGTAATTATTTGAAAATAACAAAAAATTTTCAACACTTTTTTTTTTTAAAATAAAGAAATATTTTCATTGAATAATTTTTCATTTCCATTTTCGTTTTTTTCGAGACTCGACGAGAAAGACAAAACTTTTTGAACGATTTTCCAATCTGGTTAGAAAGACAACTTTTATTTTACGCATATTACCATAGAATATAAAACGTTCTATATGAATTGCATAGACATACTTAAAACGCGTTTGATTTGTTTCACCTAAATGTTTTTATTTAGATGAAGTCAGATTATTGTTGCGTTTATTGTTATATTTTTATTCGTCTAATGAAATTTTCCAAATCCGATCAAAAATAATTCGGATTTCGAAAATGTTCCTAAGAATTGTGTATAATGTAATCTTGCCAATACGCACTTTTTAAATGATCCGTTATAAGAAAAAAAATTAATAATCTTACGCTTGCGAACACGGAAGAGATTAAAAAAATTTCGATAGTCCGACCATAGTATGACCATATCCAATATTTCTTTTGTTGTTTGAAGCGTAATACAAATCAATGCGATTCGAGAATCTCTAAGTAATCAATTTAAAACTTGATACATTAAACATAGATATTAATTAATTAATTAATTGTCTAGGAAAAATTCGAATGATCTGATTACAAATATTCTAAGATCATTGTTATACTGTCTGAAAAAACAGTAACTGAATCAATTCTAGAAAAAAAAAAAAGAATTTTATTCGATTCTCAGAATGTTTTTGACATTTACACTCATCCACTCCTACATAAACACGCACTCACGCGTGTACATACACATACACACACGTAAATGAAGTATGTGCCTTTCAGAAGTAATAATGGTATATTATGTAAGAATGCATGATATATTATGACGAATAAATTGTTTTTAATAAAAATCAATTTGTCTGTATGTTTTTATATATATATATATATATATATATATATATATATATATATATATATATATAATTGTCATGAAAACATAGACAAAACCATAGACAAGAAATTGTACCAATAAGATAAGTATGGTCCCTAAGTATTTTTAACAAAATATATATAAGATATATTTAAGAAAAAAAAAGTTAAAATTTTATAAATACCTTAAAAAAACATATCTATCGCAAATGAATCATAAATAATACAAATGAATTTAACGATCACGTTTGAAATATATAAGTTACCTTAGATAACAATGTCCTTTTTAAATGATGTTTCTCATTAACATAACATAAATTATAATTGCAAAGATTATAAAATGTCAAATATCTCAAAATATTTAATACAAACATAATATAAAAATATCATTTGAAAATTTTAAATATTCTTAAAGCTACTACTAATACCGATCCATATGAATCTCATTATATGATTGAATTGTAAAAAAAAAAAAAAAAAAAAAGATAATAAAAAAGATATAGTCTATCTAGTAATAATCAAGACTCCTGTCTTTGCATTACAATGAGAATTAAAATTTATGTATATATTAAAAATATATATATATATATGTATGTATATATATATATATATATATGTATAGAAATAATGTTTATAATATATATAGCTTTTTTGTTATTGAAAACGATGTAGAAAAAATATTTAAGTTTCGTTGTTTTTTACTTCGTTTATCAATTGTAAACAAACTTTTAAGTCCTCGTAATCTTCAACCATTGCATCAAGTCTGTAAACAAGTGAACAAAATGGTATTTTTTTATATTCAAAATATAAAAGAGTCAAATATTTTTTTTATCAATACCTGTCAGCAAACATATCCAATACAGTACTTGTAAAATTTCCTTTTTTCAAAGCTTGAGAACAAAAATGCGTCAAATTTTTAAAACATTTATGTGTCAAATTGCATATACTTTGATATTCTTTTTCATTTAATTGCTTTGTAATATTCCATGCTGCATATACATAATGCATTACTGATATCCAATGCTGTGATTCTACAAGTCTTTTTCCCTGATCTATAATTGCTTTCTATATAAAATCAAGATAATATTAACTTATAATAAAACACATAAAACTTATAATAAAAAAAAAAAATATAAAAGTAAAAAAATTACTACATACATGAAAGGCATCTAAATGAATATTAGATAAACCATTCAAATCAGAAAACTCAATGCTAGCTTGTATATTTTGTTTTAAATTATTTAATATATCAATCAATGATTGAATATCAGCCATTGGCATTTTTTTCAATAAAATATTTCGTATTTTGTCATTGTTGTGTAGAAGACCATCCTCTTGCATAGATACTAAATCCATAATCATGTGTACTAATTGATTATGGCTAAGACCTCTCAAACCATTTACTAAATTGCCAGTAAAATATTTTTGTGAATTATTAGTATCTAATAAGTTTTGTAATTTTTTCTTTTTGTCTGGTGTTGTAAATTGAGATTCACTATTATCTGCAAGAGAAAGTCTCTTTCTAGGTGTACTTCTCAATATCATAGTTGATTTCGATGGACTTTTCACTGGAGTACGATCTTTAGAACTTGAGCTATAATAAATTTAATTATATTTATTTATAATTATTTTGCAAATTAGAAAAAATTAATATTTTACCTAAAAAGACTATTCCTTTTACAAGTATCAAGATCAGGAGACCAAACTATAGTTCTACGACGACGTCCTCGTTTTTGAATTACCAATTCATCAGGACTAGGTGCAGGACTCCAAGATTCAGAACCATGACGACTATTTAAAAAATTATCCATTGCATTAACTTCAGTAGAAATTGCTTCTCCTAGAAAGCACAAATTGAAACTAAACAAAATAAATAAAAAGTAGCAAATAATAGAATATGAAAAATGTCAGAAGCGTACCAGGTGAAACAGAATTATTGACGGGAATTACTGCTAAAGCTTGACGAGAAGATCTTCTACGCGTTCCATCTGGTCTTCGCAAGAAATCTCTAGTAGTTGGAGTATTCATTTCTTTCAATATAATAAAAAATTTTTAATTCAAAAATATGATTATAATTTATATTTTTCTTGATGATTAGTTAAATATGGCACATGAAATGTCAACTCTATTTTTTGACGTAAGAAACGTAATTTAACTTGTTCACATGATTTATTAATGATAGAATAAAATTATAATTCGAAAATTTATAAAAAATATAAAATATAAGATCACAAAGAACACAAAAAATACGATTACACGACGCGATAATGCGTCAAATATAATTATAATAAACAGGACTGGAAAATGGCGGGAATGAATCTGATTGGCTTATTCCAATGTAGCTTAACATTGAAACATTGAATTTTATATTAATAATTATTTCACTAAAATAAAATTGATTAATATTTAAATATATTTTATTATTATTAATAAAATATATATAATAATTACTTTTTAATCTAAACAATTATTAATTCTATAAACTGTAATTATTATTGGATGTATGTTTATATATTTTTTTCATAAAATTTTTATTATTAATAAAATTATTCAATTTTTTTTATGAAATTGTTTATTTTTTTATGTAATATTATTATATTTTTATTAAAAAAATTTGTTAAATAATTTCCAATAGAACTAACAATTAACCAATAAGAAGCAATATATATAAATATTACTTATTTCCTTATATACTGTTAAGGTTAATATTCTAAATAAGGTTATGTTACAGGTTATGAGACATAATTAAATACATGCAGAGAGTATGATTAAAATTATTTAATAAATAATTTTAAATTTTAAAATAAAATCTTAAATAGTTTACTTAAAGAGTATATGATAACTTTATAATATTAAATATATTATAATATTATAAATTCTTATAAAAAATAATAAAAGGTAAATATAAAATAAAAATATTTATTGTGGACAATTTAGTATATTTCGTATAAAGATAAAAAATAATTAATATTTCTTATATATAATTAATATTTATTATTAATATTTTTTATTAGCATGAGTGAATTATTAAATGATGAACGATTTGCTTACATTGCAAGGGATCCTAAATTTAAGAGGATTCCAAAAACAGAAAGAAAAGTAAAAATAGATAAAAGATTTCAGAGTATGTTTAAAGATAACAAATTTAAGATTCAATATACCATAGATAAACGAGGTAGACCTATAAATCAAACATCATCTGAAAATCTTAGAAAATATTATGATCTATCTAGCAGTGAAGAAGAAAGTGACGAAAAAGAATATGAAAAATCTAAACAAAAAGAAAAAAAATTTAATGAATATAAAAAAAAAGATAAAAAGAATGAAATGCCTCAATTGGAAGAAAGAAGTCCAAAAAATGAAAATGAATATAATGATTCATCAGATGATAATTTTTTTTCAAGTAATGGAGAACTACTTAGGATTAAACCACAAGAAGATTCTGAACAGAATAACATTGAATCTGACTCTGAATCTAACATAGATGATGCAATAAATGTCAAAAATTTAAAAGCAGATTTAAAAGAAAGTAAAAAACAATTAAATGTTAGAAGCAAAAGTGAATCTAAGAAGCTTACTGATAAGATTAAAGAAAAATTAAAAGATTTAAGTATAAATTATGCTAGAGGTGAAGGAATTTTAATGACAGATAGTTCTTCTGATGAAGAAAGTTTTGAGACTTCTGGTAATATATAATAAACTAATATCTTTAACAAATTAAAATTTTTAATTTTACAGAGAATTTAATAATAATTTATAATTTGATTATTTAATTAGATGAAGAAGATATTGAACACAATTGGGGTGAATTAGATAAAGAGGCTGAAACAACAAATGAAATTACACATAGATTGGCACTTTGTAATATGGATTGGGATAGAATACGTGCTGTAGATTTAATGGTTTTATTTAATTCATTCTTACCTCTTGGTGGTTTTATTAGTTCAATTATTGTATGTATAATGGATAACTAAATTAAATAAATGGTTTTCGATAATTTTTATAATGAAATAATTTCAGATTTATCCCTCAGAATTTGGTATACAACGAATGAAAGAAGAAGAACTTCAAGGTCCAAAGGAATTAACAGAAATGGATAAAGAAAAGAAAAATGAAGATGAAAATGATGTATAAACTTATTCTCTTTTTCTTTTCTTTTTTTTTTCTTTAATATAAATAAAATTATAGTTTTAGAATTTAATTTTATAGAATGAGGAGGAGGAAGGATCAGCATATCATATGGAAAAATTAAGACAATATCAATTAAATAGATTAAAATATTATTATGCTGTAATTAATTTTGATTCTGCTGAAACTGCAAATAAAATTTATACAGAATGTGATGGTACAGAATATGAATCTACAGCAACAAAATTAGATCTTAGATTTATACCAAATGATATGGAATTTGATCAGGTATGTATATTTTTTAATTATAATGTATATATAATATTATTATATATAATCTTAAATGCCTAATTTAAGACTCCTAAAGAAATATGTGATAAGCTACCACAGCTTACAAAATATCAACCAAGACAATTCATAACCACAGCTTTACAACAAGTTAAAGTGAACTTAACTTGGGATGAAACAAATCCTGAAAGAATAGAGATTGCACAAAAATTGAATTCTGGAAAATTAAATGAAATTAATGAAACTGACTTACAAGCTTATTTAGCAACAGATTCAAGTGATAATGAAGCAGGTACAACATTTTTCTATTCTTTATATTTTATTTCTTTCTAATATTTTATCTAGTATTTCTAGTATTTTATTAATATTTTTTTATTAATGAAAAAAGAAGAAGAAGAACAACAACAAAAAGAATCACAAAAAAATAAAATCAATTCAGAAGAGGAAACAAATGCTGATCCAGTTGAAAAATACAAAGCTTTATTGAAAGAAATAGAGGAAAAAGAAGAAGCAAAACAGAAAAGGGATGTTGAGTTGGAATTTACTTGGGGCTTAGGCACGAAAGAGAAAGCTGAAAAACTAGTGCAAGAAAGATTAAAAAAAGATCAAAATCTTACTCCATTTGAGCAATATTTAGAAAAACGAAAAGCAAAAAAAAAAGCTAAACGAGAAGAACGAAAAAAACATAGAACTGAAGATGAATCTGATTCTGAAAATTCAGAAATGTTTAATTTGGATAATCATGAAAAAAATAATAGATTATCTCATGAAAAGAAAAACGCTATAAAAAGTAATAATTCTTTTTCATCAGACGATGAAAATGAAGAACGACGTAAAGCTGAATTAGAACTTTTATTAATGGATGAAAATGAAGATAATAAACAACATTTCAATATGAAAAAAATCGAAGAAAATGCTACAATGACAAAGTCTAAGCAAAAACGATTAAATAAAAAGAAAAATACACAAGATCAAATAATAAAAGATAATTTTGAAGTAAATGTTCAAGATTCAAGATTTAACGCTTTGTTTACATCGCATCATTTTAATATTGATCCAGCAGATCCACATTATAGAAAAACTAAAGGTACTGAAGCTCTAATTAAAGAAAAATTAAAAAGAAGAGCTAATAATGATTATAATGAAGTAAGTAAAATTTATTTATGTATATTTATTCTCAAAAATATCTGCTTAATTTTATTTATTTAAAATTTATAGGAAGTACCTGTTAAAGAATCAAAAATGCAGTTTAATACAGAACTACAAACATTAATTAAATCAGTAAAGCAAAATACCAAAAATATTTCAAAACCAATAAAATAAATTTTCTTGTAAATTATTTATGAAGCAAGAAATTATTCTTAATTTTACATTGGAATAAAATATAAATATAAATTACTTCATTAAGTTTTATTCATAATTTATTCATAAATTAGAAGGGAAACAAACGAAAAAAATTATCTGTGGCGCCATCTCGCGTTTAGATCTTGAAAACTCCAACTTATTATTAGTAAAGCAGAATATGGAAAGAGGTATTCATGTTGTTACAGATAAGAAGAGCAATATTGTGAAAAAAAAATTCCTGCTATTTTGAGGATATTACATGAAAAATTTATTAATTATGCGTTTTCTTCTAAAAATTTTCATATTTTAAAGTTAAAACTTCAGACAAATTTCTAATATCAATTTTAATACGAAGTTTTTTTTTAATTAATTATTCATTAATAATTAATGCATTATACAAACTGACACAATCGATTCACAATATCTTTTTTATTAATTTCTAATTATTACAGGATTTATTTTTAAATATAAATATATTCATTTGAAATATTACTTCCTTCTTTATTTTTATATATAAATTTTATTCATAATTTTACTATTGTTTAAATAAATAAATTAATTGTTTATTAAAATAAAAAATTGATTTATTTTTATTACTTGATTATAGAATTACTACTTATATTTATTATATTTATTATATTATATTTATTACTTGATTATAGAATTGATATTTATAACTAATATTTATAATATTTTAATATTATATTATAATATTTTCTATAATAATTATTAATAAATATTTAATTAAAAAAAAAATTGTACTAAAATTAATACGAGAAATTTATCTAAAGTTCTATCTTCAAAATGTAAACTCAAAAGTGTAAAAATTTTTAATAAAAAAACAAATAATTAATAAATTTTTTATGTGATGTTTTCAAAATGGTAGAAGATATTTTCTTTCTTTCTTGCACAATGTTGTTCTGTTTGATAGATGTCATAAATACTTTCTTATATATCTACTTTACTAATAGCAAGTAGAAACTTCCAATATTCAAATGACAGATGTGACCATTAATACTAAACTTTCTATTTAATTTAAATTAAAAACTTATGGCAAAATGGATTTTGTAATGATAATATAATTTAAAACATTAAGATCATATAACATGAATAAAAATTTATATTTGAAATATTAGAATAGATTAATTAAATCAACAATTTATATACAAAAGAAGATTTTATATTTAAAAATATTTGTTTCAGAAATATCTTAAATAAACTTTTATTATAAATATTTTAAAATAAAAAATTCGTAAAAATATTTTTAGAAAAAAAATTTTTTTGAAGGAAAGAAAAAAAAATATGTAAAAATATACAAAAGTATATATAAAATATATATAATATATATATTACAATATATTTAATATATATAACATATATATATATATATATATTTATAATATATATTATGACATATAAAAATAATAATATTTATGTATATATATGTAATATATAATTTAAAATAGTAATATATTTGTTTGTAAAATATTACAGATTGAAATTTAATTTTAATTTATATATATAAATAGAAACATGAAATAGAAACTTATATAAAACTTATATAAACTTATATAAACAAATTATATAAACAAATTATTTTATAATATATAAAGGGAAATAAAAGTCCAGGATTTTAACAATTTTAATTTTTTTAACATAATTAATATCTACAGTGACATTAAAATCTCTGAATAATTATAATAAAATGTAATAAAATATAATAATTATAATTATAATTTAAATTAAAATATATTTAAATTAAAATTTCATTACGAAATAGCGAAAGTATCAAATTGAATTTTGTTTTGAAAAATATCAAAATATAAAAAATATATTTCAAAAACTACAAATATTTCTCAAAATTCTAATTTGAATGAATTCGATATAGTCAAATGTATCGATACTTTTATATCGATATTTATTTATGTTAATCAAATCACAAACACATAAATAATAGAATATGCATCCATACATCGCATTTGTTTTTATTATCCTTAGGTTATTTTGTCGTTGTCCAATAGAATGAAACTTCAGCTAGTGAATTCTGAAATCATTGGTTGATTTTTTTTTTTTTAAATAATAAATATAAATTATAATGATATAATTTAAAACATTAAGATCATATAACATGAATAAAAATTTATATTTGAAATATTAGAATAGATTAATTAAATCATTTATTTTTTATATTAAATGTCAACATTTATTTTATTTCAAGAGAAATACTTTTTTCGATATTAATTAAGAATCGCATCTGCAGGTATCGATACTAAAAATATTTGATATCGAAACAAAAGTATCGAGTATATATTCATATTTACATGTATCAATTCATCTCAGCAATGGTATCGGAAAGTTCATCGTTGTGTTGTGACCTATTGGTATGAAGATTGAATTATCAAAATCTGGAGATGTATCGATAATTTCTACTGAAAAAGACGAATCGACTAACGATTCTAAAGAATATAAAAATAAACACAAAAAAACTAACCGAATGGAATCTCTAATTGAAATGAACACCAAGTTATCAAAGTGCGATGATGCGTCTATAGTGCAACAAGATGCAACAAAGATGCAAATGGAGCATAAAGATAAGTTAGACATAGTTCAAGAAAGTCCAAAAAAGATAGAATTGTCGTTTGAGGAAAAGATTAAATTAAGCAAAAACAACGATACATCGATTGTTTCTCCAAAAGTGTTAGAAATTAAAGATAGAATGGATATGCCTCAAGAAGTTTCAAAATCATTAGAATCCTCACATATAGAGATTTCACAAGAAACTATAGAAAAATCAGTAGAAACCAAAATGCAAGAAATGTTACTAAAATTTGAATCGCCATTTGATATGAAAATCAAAGATTCTAATTTTAGTGATGCATCTATTGTTTCTCCAGAGAAACAAGAACAATTAGTAGAAAACAAACTTCTGCAAGAAATACCTATAAAAACGGAATCACTTCTTGAAATGAATATTAAATTATCCAAAAGTGACAATGAATCCATTGTTCATTCAGAAGTATTAGATGAAATTATAGATAAAATAGATATGTCTCAAGATGATACACAATTATTGAAGCCATTACATATTGAAATCTCACAAGGAGCTATGGAAAAGTCAGTGGAAGAAACTATGCATGAAATTATACCAAAAGTTGAATCATCACTTGACACAATGTTCAAGCTTTCTAATTTTGATGACTCGTCTGTTTCTTCAGAAAAGCAAGAAGAATTAGAAGAAAGCAAAATTCTACAAGAAATATTAGATAGAACACCTACTATATTAGAATCTTCTGTTGGAATAAAAATTGAATCAGTCAAAAATGACAATTCATCTATTGTTCATTCAGAAGTATTAGATGAAATTAAAAATAAAATGGATAAATCTGAAGATATTTCAAATTCATTAAAATTCTCCCATATTAAAGTCTTACAAGAAGATATAGAAAAATCAAAAGAAATCAAACATGAGATATTGCCAAAAATAAAATCACCTGAAATGAAAATTGAGGTATTTAAATTTGATGATACATCTATTAATTCTTTAGAGAAACAAGAAAAATTAATTCAAAGTACAATTTTGCAGGAAGTATCTATGAGACAAGAAACATCATTAGAAATGAATATTGAATTAACCAAAAATGAAGATGAATCTATCATTCATTCAGAAATTTTAGATGAAATTAAAGAGAAAATAAATATATCTCAAGATGAAAAATCATTAGAACAGTTGGATATTAAGATACCACATGATAATATAGAAGAATCAATAGAAACAGCATCAAAACTTGAATTGCCATTTAATATGAAAATTAAAGATTCTAATTTTAGTGATGCATCTATTATTCCTTCAGAAGAACAAGAAATGTTAGAAGAAAGCAAACTTTTACAGGAAATACCCAATAAAACAGAATCACTTCTTGAATTGGAGAATAAATTATCCAAAACTGATGATATATCTCTTACATATCCAGAAGTGCAAGATAAAATTAAGGACACATTGCATATGTCTCTAAATATTACAAAACCATTACAGCAACTGCATGTTGAAATATCACATGAAATTATAGAAAAATCAATGGAAACTATGCAAGAAACATTATCAAAACTTGCATCACCACTTAGTATAAAAATCAAGGATTCTAATTTTAGTGATATATCTATTGTTTCTTCAGAAGAACAAGAAAAATTGGAAGAAAATAAACTTTTACAGGAAATACCCAAGGAAACAGAATCACTTATTGAAATGGAGATTAAATTATGCAATAATGATGATACATCTCATATTTATTCAAAGATTTCAGATAAGATTACAGACACAGCAAATATATCACAAGTTATTACAAAATCTGTAGAGCATCCAAATATAGAAATACCACATGAAGTTATAAAAAAATCAATGGAAACCATGCAAGAAGCTTTGCCAATACTTGAATCATTTGATATGAAGATAAAGGATTCTAAATTTAATGATACATCTGTTGTTTCTTTAAAAAAAGAAGAACAATTAGAAGAAAATAAACTTCTACAAAAAATACCACAAAGGACAGAATCATATCTTGAAATAAAGAATAAATTATCCAATATTGAGAGCTCATCTATTGTCGATTCTGAAGATTTAGATGAAATTAAAGAAAAAATAGATATAGCACAAGATGTTTCAAAGTTGTTAGAACCACCAGAAATTGAAATCTCTCAAGAAGCTATAGAAAAGTTAGTAGAAACTATGCAACAAAATTTACCAGAAGGTGAATCACCACTTGATATGGAAATGAAACTTTCTGAGTTTGATGATGCATCTGTTCTATCTTCAGAAAAGCAAGAAGAATTGGTAGAAAACAAATCTATGCAGGAAATACCAAAAAAAATAAAATCACCTCTTAGAATAGAAAGTAAATTACCTAAAAGTGACAATGCATCCATTGTACATTCTGAAGTGCTGAACGAATTTAATGAAAAAATAAATATATCTAAAGATGTTACAGAATTATTAGAACCAACACGTATTGAAATCTTACAAGAAGATATAGAAAAATTAGTGGAATCAATGCATGAAAGAATACCAAAAGTTGAATCTATGGAATCTATGGAATCTATGGAAATAAAACTTAATGAAATTGATGATGCATCTTTTTTATCTTCAGAGAAGCAAGAAGAATTAGAAGAAAATAAACTTCTACAGGAAATACCGAAAGAAACAGAATCATCTATTGAAATAGATATTAAATTATCTAAAAATGAAAACATTGTCCATTCTCAAATATTAGATGAAATTAAAGATAAAATAGATATATCTCAAGATGATACAAAAACTATTGAATCACCACATTTTGAGATTTCACAAGAAATTATAGAAGAATCAGTAGAAACTTTGCATGAAACATTGATTAAAGTTGAATCACCTCTTAGTATAAAAATCAAAGCTTTTGAATTTGATGATGCATCTATTCTTTCTTCTCCTGAAAAAACAAAACAATTAGAAGGAAATAAATTATTAGAAGAAATACCTAAGACAACAATATCATCTCTAGAAATGAAGATTAAATTATCTGAAAATGATGACATATCCACTGTTCATTCAAAAATGCTGGAAGAAACTGAAAACAAATTGGATATGACTCCAAATATAACAAAATCAATAGAAACATCTGATATTGATCAGATAATCAATGATCAAGCTATAGAAAAATCTGTAGAAACTATTTATGAAACTTTACCAAAAGTTACGTCACCTCTTGGTATGAAGATTGAGCTTTCTAATTTTGTTGATGCATGCATCGTTTCTTCAGAATTACAAGAAGAAATAGAAGAAAATAAACTTCAACAAGAAATACCTAAGAGAACTATATCTATGGAAATGAAGAGTGAATTGTCTGAAAATGACAATACATCCATTGTTCATTCAGAAATGATAGAAGAAACTAAAAACATAACAGATATATCTCAAGATGTTAAAGAATTATTAGAGACATCAGATATTGAAATCTCACAAAATACTATGGAAAAATCAGAAGAAATCAGATATGAAACTTTTCCAAAACTTGAGTCGCCACTTGGTACGGAAATTAAACTTTCAGAATTTGAGAATGCATCTATTGCTTCTTTAGAAGAGCAAGAACATTTAGAAGAAAGCAAACTTTTACAGGAAATATCCAAAGATACAGAATCTATTGAAATGAAAATTAAGTATGACGATGCATCTATAATCGTTCATCCGCTCGATGAAATTAAAGACAAAATAGAAATATTTCAAGATGTTACGAAATCAATGAATACATCGCATAATGACATTGTACAGGAAGTAATAGAAAAACCTATAGAAACCGTGATTGAGCCATTGCCAAATCTTGAATCGCCATTTGATACGAAGAATAAAATTTCTGAGTTTGATAATATATCTAATGTTTCTTCAGAAAAGGAAAAACATTTGGAAGAAAGTAAACTTTTGCAAGAAATGTCCAAAAAAATAGAATCACCACTCGAAATAAAAATTAATTTATCTACATGCGAAAACGCATCTACTATTGATACACAAATCATGCAAGAAACTGAAGACAAAGTAGATACATCTCAAGATACCAATACAAAACCATTAGAATTATTGCAAATTAAAATCTCAAATGAAGCTATAGAGAAATCAGTTGAAACAATATATGAAAAATTATCAACAACTGAATCACTTGATATAAAGAATAAGTATATTGAGTTTGATAATAAATCTCTTGTTTCTCCAAATAAAGAAAAGCAATTGGAAGAACATAAATTTTGTCATGAAATACCTATAAGAACCGAATCACCTTTTGAAGTAAAGATTAAATTATCTAAAAATGATAATACATCCACTATTCATTCAGAAGTCCTAAACGAAACTGAAGATAAAATGGATATGTCTCAAGATATTACAAAATTGTTAGAACCATTACCAAATGAAATCGCAAAAGAAACTATAGAAAAATCAATAGAAATCACACATGAAAATTTTCCGAAAATTGAATCTCCACTTGGTATGAAAATCAAGCTTACTAAGTTTGGTAGTGCATCTATTATTTCTTCAGAAAAGCAAGAACAGTTAGGAACAAATAAATTACTTCAAGTAATAACCAAAAAAACAGATTCACCTCTTGGAATGAAGATTAAATTATCCAAAAGTGGAGATACATCAATTGTGCATCCAGAAGACAAAATTAAAGAAAAAAGAGATATGACTCAAAAAAATATTACAAAATTATTAGAACCATTGCATAATGAGATGGTAGAAGAAGTTATAGAAAAATCTAAAGAAATGCATGAAACTTTACCAAAAATTGGATCACCACTTGGTATGAAGATCAAGCTTTCTAAATTTGGTGATGCATCTATTATATCTTCAGAGAAACAAGATCAGTTAGAAGAAATCAAAGTTCCACAGGAAATACCCAAAAGAACAGAATCACCACTTGGAATGAAGATTAAATTATCCAAACGTGGTGATGCATCAATTGTCCATTCAGAAGTTCTAAATGAGATTAAAGAAAAAATAGATATATCTCAAGATGTTTCAAAATCATTGGAACCATCTCATTTCGAAATTTTACATGAAGATATAGAAAAATTAATGGAACCTGAAGAATCCTTGCCAAAAGTTGAATCGTTACTTGGTATGAAAATCAAGCTTTCTAAGCTTGGTGAAGCATCTATTGTTTCTTCAGAAAAGCAAGAACAGTTTGAAGAACATAAACATCTACAAGATATACCCAAAAGAACAGAATCACCATTTGGAATGAAGATTAAACTATCCAAAAGTGGAGGAGCATCTATTGTTCATTCCGAAATGCCAGAAGAAAATAAAGATAAAAAGGAAATATTTTCAAATGTTACAAAATCTTTGGAGCCACTACATATTGATATCTCACAAGAAGCTATAGAAAAAACATTTGGAACCAGACATGAATCTTCAGCAAAAGTTGAATCTCCACTTGGTATGAAGATTAAACTTTCTAAATATGGTGATGCATCTATTGTTTCTTCAGAAAAACAAGAATATCTAGGTGAAAATAAACTTTTGCAGGAAGTACCTAAGAGAACAGAATCACCTCTTGGAATGAAAATTAAATTATCTAAAAGTGGCAGTGCATCCATTGTACATTCAGAAGTGCTAGATGAAGTTAAAATTAAAAAGGATATATTACAAGATGTTACAAAATCGTTAGAACCATTGCATATTGATATCTCACACGAATTTGTAGACAAAGCAATAGAAATCAAACATGATACTTTACCAAAGATTGGCTCTCCACTTGGTATGAAAATAAAGCTTTCTAAGTTTGGTGATGCATCTATAATTTCTTCAGAAAAACAAGAACAATTAGGAGAAAACAGACTTCTTCAAGAAGTACCTAAGAGAACAATATCACCTCTAGGAATGAAAATTAAATTGTCTAAACGTGGTGATGCATCCATTGTTCATTCAGAATTGTTGGAAGAAATCAAAGATAAAATGGATACTTCTCAATATATTACAAAGTCATTAGAATCACCACATGATGTCACACAAGAAGTTGTAGAAAAATTAATAGAAATACACGAAACTTCGTCAAAAGTTGAATCACCGCTTGGTATGAAGATCAAGCTTTCTAAGTTTAGTGATGTATCTACTGCAGAAAAACAAGAACAATGGGAAGAAAGCAAACTTTTACAGGAAATACCCAAGAGAACAGAATCGCCTCTTGTAATGAAAATTAAATTATCCAAAAGTGGCGATGCATCAATTGTTCATTCAGAAGTTTTAGATGAAATAAAAGACAAAATGGAAATATCTCAAGATGCTATAAAATCATTAGATTCATCTCATATTGAGATTTCACAAGAAGCTATAGAAAAATCTGTAGAAAACATGCAAGAATCTTTACCAAAAATTGAATCGCCACTTGGTATGAAAATTAAGTTTTCTAAATTTGGTGATGCATCTATCATTTCTTCAGAGAAACAAGATCAGTTGGAAGAAAGTAAAATTTTGCAAGAAATACCTAAAAGAACAGAATCACCTCTGGGAATGAAAATTAAATTATCTAAAAGTGGCGGTGCATCTATTGTTCATTCAGAAGTTCTAGAAGAAATAAAAGATAAAATTGATATATCTCAAGATGTTATAAAATCTTTAGAACCATTGCATATTGAAATTTCACAAGAAACTATAGAAAAATCAATGGAAAATATACATGAAACCGTATCAAAAGTTGAATCACCACTTGGTATGAAGATCAAGTTTTCTAAATTTGGTGATGCATCTATTGTTTCTTCAGAAAAGCAAGAACAATTAGGAGAAACTAAACTATTACAAGAAATACCCAAAAGAACAGAATCACCTCTTGGAATGAAGATTAAATTATCTAAAAGTGGTGATGCATCTATTGTTCATTCAGAAGTACTAGATGACAGAATAGACATATCTCAGGATGTTTCAAAATATTTGGAATCTCCATACATTACTCAAGAAATTGTAGATAAATCAATAGATAATATACATGAATCATTATCAAAAATTGAATCACCACTTGGTATGAAGATCAAGCTATCTAAGTTTGGTGATGCATCTATTATATCTTCAGAGAAACAAGATCAATTGGAAGAAATCAAAGTTCCACAGGAAATACCCAAGAGAACTGAATCACCTTTAGGAATGAAAATTAAATTATCCAAAACAGGAGATGCTTCTATCATACAACCTGATATATCTGATGATGTAAATAAATCTATGCGAACATCTGAGGCAGAACATTCTAAAACTGGTGATGCTTCTTTAGGTATGAAAATAAAGTTATTAAAAACTGGAGATGCATCTATAGTAGATTCAGAAAAGAAGGATAAACAACAGCGGCGTCGAGATACTGATTCATCTCTTGAAATGAAAATTAAATTGTCCAAGACGGGTCATCCGACAATTGTAGCTTGCGATAACCAAGTAGAAACTGCATATAAATCCAAAGAAACTGATCCATCTCAGAATTTTACACAAAGATACAAAGAAACTGGACAAATCGGTCATAAAGACTCTACATTAAAAATTCTTAAAACTGGTCATTCAACTATTTTACAAAGCAATCGTTCAGAACTTACTATTGAACCAGTGCAAGTGCACGGAAAAAAAATAGATAATGTAATTGAAATGTCTCCAAAGCGTAAGGATATTACTATCGCACCTATCGATTCCAAAAAGTCTAAGCTAGAAACTCAATTCACACAAATTTTGCCTGAAGTTACTATTCAACCTGTTACACCCAGAGAACAAAAACAATTTTTGTTCGATCCAAAAAGCAGCGCGATTAGTTTACAGCAAATGAATGTCATAAATCAAGAAATTAGTATTACTCAAGTAAGACCACAAAAATCAGATACTTCTATGAATGAAAAATTGAAAGATATTTTATCAAAAAATGTATCTAGTTCGCCAATGAATTCTGATTGTGAAATTATAGAACAACGGCCTGAATTGATAATAGTAAATGAAAATTCAAATTCCAGCCAAGATGTTGTGATAATAGAAGAAGTTTCCAATAGAATGCCAGAAGTTAAAGTGCCTAAAAAAAGAGGTAGACCCAGAAGGAATCCATTACCTCAAGGAATTACTCATCCTCCACCTCATTTGTTAATACCTAGAGATCCTTTGTCTTTAGACGACTCGCAACAGATGCAACAATCATCAATACATTTTCCGGAATCCAGAGAGAATGAAAGACCTAAGAGAACTTGTAGGAATCAGAAAAGTTATGCTCCTCCTAGAAGAGGTAGAGGACGAGGTTTGTATTTTTCAAATAGTTTATGTATATTATATAATTATGTTATATGTGTATTATATAATTATTTATATATATATTGTATATATAATTATATATATATTTTTTTCATATTTTTATCACTTTGTTCATTCCTTTTTTTCTTTTTTTTTTTTTAATTTATTAGGTCGAGGAAAACGAAAATTAGATAATGCAGATTCACAAATAATGAAAAAACCTAAGATAGAGCAAGATTTAAATGCGATAGAAGCTTCTACAACGGCTATAATAACGATTGATGATTCTGGGGTGCAACAAGAATCTTTCGGAAAATCATCGGAACTGTATAAAGTTCTTAAACAACCAACTATAGATTCCAAAATGACTAATTCTTCGGGTAAAGTTGATAAAAAGATTATTGGACAAAAAAATGGTGAATTAAAAAATGTAAATGTAATTAATAATATGCTTACAGACTCCATGAGTATGCAAACGGAAATGAATAAAACATCAGAAATGCGATTACCTAAACCAGTATCAAATAACATTAAAGATGATATTAAGGATAAGAAATTGATTGAAATCGTTCCTGAACGAATACAAAAGGCTGTAACAAAAGTAGATTCTGATAACAGATCTGATAAACTGACGGAGAATACAAAATTGGAAAGTAAAGACATATTAGTACCACCTGGACATCCTAACTGGCTGACACCAGCATCGAAACGAGTAGAAAATGCTACGAAGCATGAGAATATGTCTACAGTGCAAGTAATAGACGAGGAAACAAGAATGAGTGCAGAATTAGGTTCAAGATCTCAAACTCCAGCTAGAAATATTTCTGCACCAGGTATGTATATAAATTACTGCATTATTTATATTATATATTAATTTTAAAAATGCAATAACGCAATAATTATTTTTATTTTTTATATTTAGAATAATTATTATAAATAAAAAATAATATATAATAATAACTTTATTTATTATATAAATATTTATATTATTATTTATTAACAATTAAAACCAATTATATTATATATTAATTATATAATATAATTAAATATAAAATATATTTTTATTATATCTTTAAAAATAATAATAAATTGTCAAAAAAAAATGATAATAATGAAAAGCATGTATGGATTATAGTCATCATATGACTAAACAAAATTAAAAGATAAATGTATTGGTAGACCTCCAAGTAAGATATCTATAAATAGATCTTTTCTTGTGTCCTAACATCTCTCAAGCACCTAAATGTGAGATGTATTTAAATTAAGCACAAAATGTACTATTACTTCAAATCATAATGAATATGTATTAACATATATATTTTAAAAGAATTTTAAAACCATAATGGTTAGTGTTTTATTGTTATCATGTCAATATATATTTTTTTAAAAATATTTTTATTTTGAAAAGTTTAATAACAGATGTTTATTGTTAATCTTAATTGTGAAATTAAATTGATTTATTCATTTTTTTTTATTTATTTTAATAAAGACATAATTATTTTTAATATAATTCTTATTCTATAATTTAAATTATAAAACATATTAATATATAGTAATTGGTTATGTTTTTAAATATAAAGTATTATATTATCTTTATAATATCATAGCCTCTGAAACTATGGTAAATGAGGAATCCCAAGGAAGTGTACTTAGTACTGCAACCACAGAATCAGAAAAAGTGAAAGTTAAAAATCGAAGAATGGAAATTAATTTTGATCCAGACGAAGGACCATTTACTGTCGATAAAATTGCTGAATATGAATGGCCACTAGACCGGAAAGGTGAAACATTTATGATACAAGAACAAATATCTCAGTATCTTGGTGTAAAATCTTTCAAAAGAAAATATCCAGATTTAAAGAGAAGAGTAGTGGATATGGAAGAGAGAAATTATTTGAGAGAAAATGGATTAGTCAGTGAAGCAATGTGTGATATGGGTAAGTTATTTATAAATTATTTATTTACTAGTATTTTTTACTTACTCTTTACTAATATATTTTTTATTAATGTTATTTTAGGATTAACTGCTGTATGTAGTTCAGAAGTATTAGATGTAATGTGCAGTGATTTTCCGGATCAATATGAAGAATATCGTAAACATATGCGCGAAAAACAAGTGAAAGAACATTCTAAAAAACAAAAAGAATTAACAGCAGCTGCAAATGCTGAAAAAAATAGAATTGATCTAGCAGAAATGGCAGTTCAATCTGCATTATCTTGGAATATTAATTTAAATAAAGCTCGACGAGAAAATAGAAAATGTAGCTTAGATTTACAAACTTTTACAATACATGTGCCAAAAAAACAACTAAAAATTGAAACGGAACGAAGAATTGGTCACTATCCTGTTGCATTGATACCAGGACAATATACAGATTATTATCGGGAATATACACCAGCCGAATTACGATATTATCCTCTTAATACTGTACTCTATGGTCCTATGAGACCAAATGAACGTAAATTTGACAGTCAATCAGAAGGATCTCAAAGTGATAGTGATAGTGATTCATCTTCAGATGATTCAAGGTTCGTATTATTATTTAAAACTTAGCATTTTATTATCTCTTGTGAAAGAATAGTTTTTTATTTTTTATATATAGTTCATCTTCTAGTGAGGGAACACAGGATACGGAAGGTTCTCAGTCTACAATGGACGAAGTAGATATGGAAATAGCAAACCAAAAAGATGAAATAAAATTAAAATGTAAAATGTGTTTAAAAACATTGAATAAACATAGTAAAAATGAAGTTTTAATTCAATGTGGTACATGTAATGGACATGGTAATTATTTTATATCATTTTTTATTAATATATTTTTTATTCTTTTATAACAAAAAATCGTAATATTTTTATTATAGTTCACCCATCATGTATAGATCTAACATTAGATATGGTTCCTCATATTCAATCATATGCATGGCAATGCACAGATTGTAAAACTTGTGCTCAATGTCATGATCCTGCTGACGAAGATAAAATGCTTTTTTGTGATATGTGTGATAGAGGGTATGCTTTTTTTTTTTATTATAAAATATAAAATACATAATATACAATCATATATATAATATATATAATTTATTTAGATATCATATTTATTGCGTTGGCCTCCGACGAGTACCCCAAGGAAGATGGCATTGTCAAGAATGTGCTGTCTGTGCAAATTGTAGTTCAAGAGAACCTGGTGGTATAAATTCTGATAGAAACAGTGTTGCTCAATGGCAACATGAATATAAAAAAGGTGATAAGAATACTCGTGTTTATGTTTCAACGCTGTGTGTTCCATGTTCAAAGTAAGTAGTACTAATTTTCCTTTCATCTTATGGTGTAATGTATGAGTGAAAATGTGATTAAAAATACACATACTAAGTGCTAGTTTTCAAATTCTCACGGGGCTTCATTATTGCTTCACAATTTCCTTAATTCACACTAATCTTCTTCTTAAAAAAAGTTTATAAACTAATGTTTCACATTCACAATGTCATCATATTTGAATCTTTGGGTTTTAAAAGTTAGATATATACAATTTGATTAATTAATAACATTTTTGAATTAATTAATAACATACATTTATCTATACTTAATTTATGCATGTTTAAAATAAATTGGCAAAGATTCAGATTTTCATCAGTTATATTAAATTCTGGCATTATAATGAATCCTTATCCAAATTCATTAACCCCATAATCTTTATGTAATAACAAGGCTATGGCGAAAGGGTCGCTATTGCCCACACTGCAGTCGCTGTCATACTGCGCCAAGACTCGACCTGGAAGCAAATCTAGTGCATTGCAGCGCATGTGACAAATATCTGCACTTAGGTATTGACACAAATTCCATATAATTCCGTTATATATTTTTCATTGCATGTCATTGCATTTGCATGTTTCATCAAATATTTTTGCCTTTAAAAATAATTTAACTATTTCAAATATAAAAAAAAGGTTTCAGGTATAGTAAAATATTAAATATAAAAAAATATTTAATAATTAGCATTTGTCATTATAATAAAAAAATTATTCTCATTAATATCATTAATATTTATAGGTTGCGTGGAGACCAAGGGAATGCCATTAGACAGGAAAAATTATCTATGTGATTTTTGTGCACCAAATCGTCAGCATATGATGAAACCATTAGTATCGAAAACATTGAAAACGTAAATAAATATAAACTATATAATTTTTGTTTAAAGATGAGGGTTGTATAAAATATGAATCCCGTGCATAGAGAAACTGATAAAATAGAAATTTTTTTATTTATGTAGATAATGAATATATTATGAAAATTTAAGTAAAAAAAAATTCATTTATCATAAAATCTTTCATATGAATTTTTAAATGGAAAGAATATCGTTGTACATAATTATATGATTATAATCAATTTAAAAAATTGAGTATTTTGTTACATAAAAGTAGTTATAATTAGCTATATATAAAGTTTAAAATATATAAAAATCTCACTTTAAATGTTAATGTTTAAGTAAAAATTTTAAAGATTCCAATTTTCTTTATAATTTTTATCCTTTTATACTTAAATGTCGATAGTTCTTTTTTAAAGTACTATAAAATGAAAAAAAATTTTTTTTTTTAAACAAATTGTGTTCATATAATTTATTTTCTTTTCACTATATATTACATATAAAATTACGTATCATAATAAGGAAATCATTATTGGAAGACTGTTTTACAGTATTATATAAATTTTATAATTATCTTTAACATTTCTTTTTAAATGTATATATGGTGCTGTTTTTTAAAATGTTTATATTTGTTATATGCATATATATGCGTAAGTTTAATACTAATTTTTAGAGTTAATTTCAATTTATAAAAAAATTAACAATCTTGTAATTTATTAGTTATAGATTTAAAAAAAAATGAAAATTAATACATATGTATGATGAAGGTAAAAAGGGAGCATAATAAAATATAAAACAAAATAGCAATTTCTTAAAAATATATATCACTTTCTTTATTTTTCTTTGCAATATAATCCTCGGAATAGTATTTTGTTGCGAGAGTATGCCTTGCAAATATTTTTACATATTTATAGTAACATAATATTCACATCGTGAATAATATGTTTCATGTTCTTCAGAAATTTATCTTTTCTCGCCGTTTAGCCATAATTAATAACCAATTATTTTCAAAACTAATTACATTATATAATACAATGCAAAATTTTTTAGATTATTTAGTAATATATACAAGAAAATAAGATCATAATATTAAAATTGATTAAACAATGACCAAATTGTAAAATACAAACTTTGGCATATCGTTGCATGAATATTATACTGTCAAAAATATTTTAATATATAGCATATTTTTGTACAAGACGTATCTCTAAAGCATTAGATCAATTATGCAGAAACTACCGAGGATTTACACAGTATCTTTTTTGCGAAGTAAATATTTTATATCCTTTTGCAAAGCTACATGTGTCTGCCATTACAATACAAAGTTTAAATGATAGCGGAACAACATCGGCAGCATTTCAAAAGTGAAAGAAGACAATCGTTAAGAAGTGCGTGTTTTAAATTTCCGCATATCGATTCATTTTTCCTTTTTTCTCTTTTCTTTTTAACTAAGATTAGAAAGAGCATAAACTAGATTTTTTTTTCATATTTGATGTTAAAATGTACAATTTCCCCTAATACGTCTGATACTTTTTTCTTTAATATTCAATTTACTTTGAGCGCTACTATAAAAATGGCTGTGCACGCTTTCAAATTCTTTCAAAATCACACACTTAACACTCCGCACATATCGTGAAATTGTGAAAAATAAAAAACAACTTGAGCAAAAAACGAGGCATAGCATACAGCACACATTATGAAATGACATAACGTGTTTTGCATTACGTAGAACACTTATACTAACGAGATAAAATGATTTAAAATCATTAACGTCTCGTTGACTAGCCGAATATAAATATACTATTGACAGATGTCAAGTGAATTCTGAGCAAACCCAACAAGCAATCAGTAGAAAAGGTGAAAAATAACATTATATTCGAGCACTGATACTGCTAAGTAATTATCCTTTAGAATATATAAAGTTTTACAACCATAGTCGAGTATCGACATAGCCATTAAACATTTTCATTTCGTACTAAAATCGATTTGTTCTTGATTTATATTCATTGAAATAATTTAAACGGCAAATAAAATTTTTGCAATTCTTTTAGGACACAATAATGTTTTGTATATAATTGACAACGTAAAAACTATTATTAGACTTTACTCGTGTCTAATACCACATATAGATAAAAAGGTACTGAAATTATGTAAGTGCGTTGCCGGTATAATAGTAGTAACTAAATTTCGCGTAGAAAATTTAGAAAGAACATCTTGAACAAAATTCGGTCCTGGCGAACTGCCAACTTTATAAAAAATGCGTAAATTGCATGTCGGATTAATGGTTTGGGATCCCTTTGTAAGTTTACAGAGTACATATTCAAGTGCCTCTGTTAGTTCATCTATAGTTAATTCCGTAGAAAGTAAATTCGTTTCCGTGGCTAAATTACCAGTTGAATTGGATGAACCTAATTAAAAGAGAAACCTTTTTATTTGTTTATGAAAAAATGTAAAAATATTCAGATAAAAATATGTACCAGTGGACATGTAACACACAATTGCTGAAACGTTATTTTCATAATTCCATCTACGTCTTATTGCCACTTTGAAATTACCTACACATTTACCAGTCTCTTCATCTATAATAAAATAATTCTTGAGAAAAATATTTGATGAAGATTTTATATTTTTTGTATTTTCATACTTACATTCAAATCTATTATTATCTCTATGAGCCCAAACGCACCATTCAACCTGAGCACCACGTGGAAGATTTGGTACAATGATGTAATCCACAATAGCATTATTTGTTCGTTTTTCCCATTCTTTTCGTGCGTCTGGTATATAACTAGAATGAGTCAAGAAACAAATACCTTGCACAATATCCCTGAGTTGTGTATTCGAGTCCATAGCTTTAACAATACGATCTATATGTCTCAATGTTAAACGACATTGTCTTTTAATATTTAAATCCAAAATAGTCATACTACCAGGCACCAATGGTATTTGTCCAGCAACTGAGATAATATCACCCACCTACCAAATAAATAATTATAATTCTATTAAAAAATCTCAAAAATCTTCAAATATTATTTACTATTATTAACTACTATTATTTGTATGCATCTATTAACAAAAATAATTATATCTCTTTTATATATATTAATTAAATTAATAATTGGTTAAAAGATATTAAATAATATAATATAAAAGATATTAAAAAATATTAATAAATACAATTTAAATTTTTTTTTTCTTACTTATTAAATACTTAATTTTTTATTTTCATTTTAGAAAATTTATTTTGTTTACCTCACTGTTATGTTTGTTTTGTAAACCAGATGTGTGTGCGTGCGCGTACGAATGCGCACATACACACATTTATCTACATATACACACAGAGACGCGCACGCAAATTGGTTTGTAACGGTAGTACACTCACACGAACAGCTTGAGAATAAGGACCAATGTTTGCAGGTGCCCAGTGACTTATGCTTTGAACATGCATTGTATGTCGTTTGTGAACTTTCTTATCACCACAGTCTTGAGTTTCTTTATAAGCTATAGCATCCAGTACAACATGTATATTTAATGGACATTCCACACATACACGGACTGGTGGATTTATCTTGCTCAAACATGAGATATAAACTTCGTTTATAGATATGTAATTTGACATATCTTTTATATATAATGTTACGGCAACGATGTCCGATATTTGAAGATTTTCCTTTTTGACTAGACCTAGACAGTCGATACGAGTGTTTTATCAATCTATATCAAATCCAAAATGCACTATTACAAGAAAAAAAATTAACTAAAAGGTGTTTTGAAAGACTTAAAGTTTACCTACTGCTTAATTTCTCCAATGCCTCTCGCATCGCAGATTTAGCATCCGGATGTTTCCCAGCAATACCACCAAACCAGAACCAGCCAGTTTGATTTTTATTTACTATGGGCACATCAGGATAATCTTCTTCTTCATATAAAATTTCCATAGGACTTGGTGGATTAAATTGACCTACATTAATTTTTTTACATTAATTTAATTTACTATGACAATATAACTATGACTAAAACAAATAGAAAAATTTAATTGATTAAATAGAAAAATAATACCAGAATTTGAAGTCCTTATATTACTGTCTGTACAATCATGTTCATCATTTTCATCTTCCGATAAATTACAACCATCATGTAATTCTGGTCCAACTATTTCTGTGATATAATCAGATGGAGTTTTAATAGGAACATTTTTTAGTCTCTCTTGTAACGTTAATCCTTCTATACCATCCTAAATAAAGTTTTTTTCAATTATTTATTTTAATCATAAAAATTCTTAAAAATGTATAACAATTTTACTCACATTTTTTTCTTGAACATGAATTTTTTTAAAGTTTAAATATCCGACGGGTGCTATATTATCATTTGAATGAACAACACTTTCATATTCATCTCTAAAATAAACAAAAAAATATATATCTTGTCTTATTTATTTTAATAATAAATTTGATAACTTACATTACAATACTTTTATTAAATAATGGACAATCTAATGTGAAGGTTTCATATTCTCCACCTTCTCCACATATGTTAACACCATATTTTTCTCTCTATAAATAAATATGTAGCTATTAAAATAACATATATCTGCTTGTTTACAATTTAAATAAATTTCTTTTACATATATTTATTTATGAGCTATTTATATTTGGAATACTTTCAATGTAAAATAAAATCAAAAGAAAATCTTTTACATTAAATTAATCATTAAGATATTTTACTTACTATTTTGGCAAGATGGGATTGCATTTCAGAAAGTGATTTACCCAAATGTCTTGGTTCAAGGCCTAAAGCTGCTACCTTAATTATAACTGCATTGACAGAACTTTCTATCATTTCTTTTAACAATTCATCTTGTTCTCTTCTCCATAGATATGATAAAGAAACAAGTCCTAAACGACTACATCTAAAAATAAACTTTTATTATTAGATATATTATTTATAAATTTTTGCCAAAGTAAAAATAATTGTTTTTATTTAATAAATTCCAGTTAAAATTAAAAATTTGCATTAAATAATTACACATTTTCCACTCGAATTCGTTGATAATCACTGAGAATAGCACCTGATGAAACAGCTTCTATATTCTCTTTTTCCTAAAAATTCAAAAAAATCAAGGTTATTATACTAACAAAGTTATTTTATATATGTTTTTTATATGTTACCTTTACTTTACTTAACAACCTAAAAAGATCTTCAACTTCATCATTTTCTGTTGGATAATAATATTTTTCTTGCATTTTTGATCTACCAAATGTTGGTTCACGATACATTGGTAAACCTATAGCTTCTGCAATATATTCAACACCTTGATATCCAACAGTTTGAAACATAAATGAATCTAATTCATCTATAAATTGTTACATTAGTTATTTATTATTTAAATAAACTAATATAATTTATTATTTATTACTTACCTTTCCCAACAGGATATAAGTTAGCTAGAGCCACAATATCATGTCCTGCAGCTATACATTGCATCATATTAAAGCATGAATCTTTACCACCACTGACTAGTGCAACAACCCTCATTTTGTTTAATTTACACTCAGAATCTCTCAAAAAAGCTTATTAAGAGCTTAGAGTATAATTAAATCTCAATATACTTTTTCATACAATCATCTGTAATAAAATAATAAAAAATTCCATTGATAATTTTATCATGAAATTTAATATAATTTTATCATATTAAATTTATAAATAATTTCTTTATGACAATAAATAAAAAATATTGTATTAAATATTATATGTATGTATATGCATATGAATGCATAAACAAGTTATATGATTATATTTATTTTTTATATAGATAATATATTGAAGTAAAAAATAGTTTATAATAATTGAATATTTATAAAGAATTATTTTTTTATTTAAAACATTATATTAGAGAAAATTATAAATATAAATTAACAAATACTTATATTAAATATAAAAAAGTATATAAACTACAAATAATATAATCATATGAGCTTGTAGCATATTTAAAATTACATATGTATATATTACTTATAAGTATATATTAAGCCAAAATTAAATTTACAAGATACATACACACATTGTTTCTTGAATGGTCTAGTATATAAATAATACAATTTAAACATAATCTTTTTCAATAAATATTTAAGAATATTTAAAAAAATTCTTTCTTTTTCTTTTTTCTTAAATTTAACATATTTTAATAAAAAAAAAGCTAAGTTATATTTTTTAAAATAAAATTTCACGAAAGGCAAGCATAAAAAGGATATTGAATATACAATTTAACTTATTAATATGCGTGTAACAATTGGCTAGTGAACAAAAATTAATCACTGTACTATTCTAAACAGTAAACGTCACATAATCCGAAAAAATTTCGATAGAATTTAGATTTTTCTTTTAAAAAATATAGAATTTGTTAATTCAAAATGCAAAATCTATCATTAATGATATGTTAGAAAAAAAATCAACGATTATTAAGGAAAAAAAGAATACCTACGGAGAAATTTTTTGGTTATTGCCGATCTCGACTAAACGAGAAATATATATTACGAAATGACGCCCAGCAACGAATTGCACAGGGAATACGAACGATAATTTCGAACTTATGTACGCTAAAATAAACTCTAAATTCTCAACAAATGTAATATTTACATTAAATTGGCGATGAAAGTTCCTTACACGGCAAAGTCTATCAGAGACTGCGATTGCTTGATAGTGGCGCCTCTCGGTAATAGAACTTTCAACATAAACTGTAAAATTGAGGTTATGACTTATTTTAATTCTACAATTAGTTATGATATGTATTGAATAAATTTCTTTCTAATTTTATCTTTATTATACGTTATTTTTACTATTATCGGAAAATATTATTTTAAATTTTGCGAATTTATTATAAAAACTAAGATTGTTGTCGAGAAATTCTCAAGTATAAATCATGCAACTGTACCTCGTGACATCATCAATGTACAAAATATATCGATGTCTCGTTATTTCAATCTACTCTATGCTATTATTTACTGATTGTGATATAACTTAAATCAAATGATAATTATTATTTCTTCTTTTTTATATATATATATATATTTGTTTATAATATTCTAATATTTTCATTTCTCTCATAAGATAAGAATATAATTTATTACAAGATGAAATACATAATTTCAAGTATTATATGTATATTTATTAGAATAAAATTGAGTTGAAATAATTTTCAAATTTTTGTCTTTTTACATTACATAACTTCGAGATATTTGTTTATTAACATCAACGTCATTTGTTTAGGGTTTAGTTGACACATTCTACCTATGACTATAGGAATAGATCATTGAAACTACATATGTTTTATACGATATGATAAAATATATATATATGTATATATTATATATTATATGTATATATAATTATACATATATATTTTATATAGAATATTAATATTTCAATCATTATTACTTATTTTATTAAGATAAAAAAATTTTTAAATTAATTTAAAATATTATAAATACATACTAATATTTAATATTATTATGATAATCAGATAGAATCAAAAGTTTTTTTATTATTTTAATATATAATATTTATATATATTAATTAATAAATTATATAAGTTCAATAAAAAAATAAATTTATAATAATTGAAAAAGAATTCATAAATATATTGGTTTTTTAAAACACAATTAATTTCGAAATACATTGAAAATATACGTTGCCATCTTTACTTAGTAAATCATTGACCAATCAGATCACTTTCAATAAGCAGCCATTTTACTTTCGCTACGGTCGCACGAAGCGCGAGTCAGATTCTGCGGAGCACGGTGCAATTGCAAGCTATCGCTTGCATCGTAGGTTTCGTTGGATTTTTTACGAAAAAATTTTTATTAACGTAATAATTTGATACAACTTAAATCAAAGAAAAGTTAGAGAATGGTTTTGGCGGAAAGAAATTCGGAAAATGTTAGAAATGGGCGCAGATCGAGAGGTCCCAGCCCCAACGGACAGACGGAATCTTCGAGCGAAGAAGACGGAGGTACCAATTTCATATTGCACTTCAATTATTATTATAATTAATTTGATTCTTTTAAATGCTATCTTAATTAATATATGATAAATATACAACAACTCTAAAAATTTATTATTCTTTAAAAGTTTGCATATTTTTATATTGATCGAACACGAAAATCAGTAGGATCTTTAAACAGCGCGCCCTACTTTTCTCCTTTTGAGCTTCTTACATTTTCAGTCAATTCCTATGAATATATTTATGCAATAATTTTATTTAATTTTTTGAACTAAATATTAAATTTTAATTTATACATATTTTTATAATAATATTTTTTTTTTTAATGAATTTTTATATAATTATATGTTATTATATATTAAAATAATTTATATATATAATATAAATAGAAAAAATATATTTTTTATTTTATTTTAAAATTTTTATCAATTAAACATTAATATTTTTTGAAGTTCCAGCAGAAAAAATACGTGTTGGAAGAGATTATCAAGTCATTGTTCCAGAATTTGTTCCCGTCAGTGGTATGTTATTTTAATGGAATTATTTATTTAACATTTCTTTTATATCTATGATACAATTTTTTAATAGTTTTTAAGTTTATACTTTTTAAATTTATTATTATCTTTATAATTGTAAATTTTATATTTCAGAACGACGATTAGATCAATGCCCTGACAGGGCATTATTAGTATGGTCTCCTACTACTGATATACCTGATCAAAAATGTAAATATGAATTTTATCTTTTATTCAATATTTAAAATATATAGATTATAAAAGATTATATTTTTTTATTAGTGGATGAATATATTATATTAGCAAAAGAAAAATATGGTTATAATGGAGAACAAGCATTAGGAATGTTATTTTGGCATAAACATAATTTAGAGCGTGCTGTATTAGATTTAGCTAATTTTACGCCATTTCCTGATGAATGGACAGTTGAAGATAAAGTTCTTTTTGAACAAGCATTTCAATTTCATGGGAAAAGCTTCCATCGAATTCGTCAAATGGTAAATTTTTTTCATGAATTAAAAATTTGAAAAATATTAAAATTATATAAAAAATTATTTATATTTTTGTCTTTTATTTTATTATTTTTTATTTTACAGTTACCAGATAAATCTATTGCCAGTCTTGTTAAATATTATTATAGCTGGAAAAAAACGCGAACTAGAACATCATTAATGGATAGACAAGCTAGAAAATTAACAAGTGGTGGCAAGGAAGGAGAAAATGGTAGTGAAAATGGAAGTGAATTAGGTTCCAATACAGACAGTGAATCAGAAGAAAAAGTAAGATTTATTTCTAAAATATCTAATAAATGCATGCACTTAATGTTTATAAAAAAGAATAAATATTCTCCTCTCAATTTAAAAGAATATCTTATAATTATAAATTATGATATAATATTTATTTTCATAGTTTAATAATTAGAAATACAAAAATTAATTAGAATAAATGTTTTTTTTTGGCTTGTTAATTTTTTTTTTTTTTAAATTATTTTAAGTAAATTAACATTTGTGCTATTGCGTGTGGTAGTGTTTTCCTCTTGCTGCATTTTAATGTCATGGCACTGGTTCGAAATCGTATATGTATAATGTGCAATAATACGCGTCTGAAAAATGTATCCACACGGTAACGTATTCCATGCGGTGAATAAAAATAATAAAAATAATAAAAACACTGATCTACAATTGGTAAAAATTATCAATATTGAGAATTATGAAACTTATATGAAATGAATTTATTTATACAAAAAAAAAAGTAATAATTTAAATTAATTAATTAAACTAATATTTCATTTCTCATAAATTTCTAAACTATTTAAAAAAAAATCTACATAAAATTAATTATACAAAATTAAAAATTAAATTATCGTTATATCGTGTGTGAACGTAAATGTGGAACGTTCCAGAAATGGACGATCCACCGCGGAATACGTCGTGGAAAGAACCAAGCTGTGCCAGGAAGCCAAGGCACTGACGCCAAAGCCCCATCCGACTCGGAAAACGCCCCTCAGGTTCAGGTACTCAGCCTAAACCTTACCCTGTTGCATAATATAGTATGCTTATTATATTTTGCTATTTTATGTCCCATATTTATTTTGTCTCTGTTGTACATTTTTTTCCTTTATCAAGAAAAGAAAATTTTGCGTAAATGATTTATATAGTAGAATGATAGGCTGAAACCTTACTGAGGAAAAAATGTTGAAGCCCAAAAATTATATAAAATGAGGAAGATTTACGCATCTCATGAATTTATTAATTCGAAAAAAATTGGCTTTTTATTATTATCAAATGTAATAAAATTTTAAAATCAAACGGAATTCGGAGCTTCTAATTTTTTACGGCGGGCCGAACTAATATTTCCGAATAGAATTTTACACACGCGCGCACACACATACGCATACGCGCGCGCGCGCGCGCACACACACACACACACACACACACAAAATTTCTTATTTCTATTTTTAAAAAAAAATTTTAAAGATTAGTAAAAATTAGATATTAAAAATTTTTAATGAAAATAAAGGGTGGGGGGGGGGGTGTTATCAGAATATATTTTACAAGGGTATTATGTGTTGTAGGGCTCGTGTAGCAACTGTGGCGTTGCTTGTCATAGTGTTCGTGCGACGCCAAAAGGACACGCGTGTCACAGCTGCTATCTGCACTGGAGGTCAGTGAGTGCAAGTTAAATAAAATTTAAATAATTAAAAAAATTATTTAGAAAATAGAATGTTCATGCACATATTATTATAGATAAAAAATACATACGATTAATTTTAAATATTTCATGAGTACAATAATATACCAAGTTTTATTATTAACATATAAAAATTTTAATAAGAATGCATGAGCATTCTTATCTATACAATAATTAATGTTTTTAAAGAAATTACAAAATTATAATTGTAGATCAGTTATAATTCAGATAGATAATTAGATATATGTATATATTCATAAATTAGAAGTTATATTATAAATTTATTTAAATAATTTAGGCGAACTGGTGTAGCAAGACCATTAAGTTCCATGCCAGGTCGAACAAACAAAAGAAAACCACCTCGCGGTCTCGTTGTTAATCACGATGATTTAGCAGCATTGGCTGGTCAACCTAATCAAGCAAACAACAGTTTACAAGCCATTGACACCGAAATTGTTAGTCTAAAACGTCAAGTATGTTTTCGAATAAAATAACACAATACGTGTGGATACATTTTTATATAAAAAAATAATTTATTGTTTAATTAAAAATTTTAAGTTATTTAAATAAAAATTTAATATATAGATACAATCAAATAAACAACAAGTAAGTGCACTGAAGCGTAAAACAACTGATGGTATTGATGATTTACGACCTCCAGAAGTATCAAGTCGTATAAATGCTCGTTGGACAAATGATGAATTACTTTTGGCCGTTCAAGGAGTTAGAAAATATGGAAAAGATTTTTCTGCGATTGCTGATGTAATTGGAACTAAGACAGAAGCTCATTTACGATCGTTTTTCGTGAATTATCGGCGAAGATATAATTTAGATGCCGTATTAAAAGAATATGAAGCTGAAAATGGCCCGATACTAATTGATGATGAGAAAGAAGAAAAGGTAAAATATTTATAATTCATTTTGTGTATTACGTAATATTAATCATTAATATTACGTAATAAATCGTTAAATATGAATGTTTAAGATGGATGTGGATCAGCCAAATGAAGCAGCAGAATCATCGCAAAAGACGAAATCATCCGCCAGTATTGGACAAACAGCTAAATAACAAATGACTATACTTCTGAATACTACCAAACGTGAAAAGAGCAATCACAGACACTTTGATAATCGATAATATCATTTAAAAGGTATTTGTTTATAATTCAGTTTGCAATTTTCACTTCTAATTATATTATGTTGCTACTGATGCGATATAAAAATATCAAGTACAAGCAACAATTTGCATCAAATTTATGTGTAAAATAAATCCATATAATGCATGTATGGATGAATTTATAAGAACAAAAATGTGTGAATTTATTTAGCTAAACTTAGTTTTAATATAATATGTTTGAAATGGAATTTTTATTAAGTAATATAAAAAAAATATTATTCCATTAAGGAAAATTAGCATGTAATTCTAAAAGATAAATTAATGCATCCAACTGCAAATATAACAAGCATTTTTTTAGATTCATTTTATATAATCTCGGATGCATAATAATTTCTTTTNTTTTTTTTTTTTTTTGAATAAATTAATTGTATTCTGTAGCATGTAATATTTCTAGATATACAAAGGGATGTCTTAAATCCCATTTTAACTAATGAAAGTAATTTAACACAATCGCATTGAATGATTTATCACTAAAAAAAAAAATAATGCTCAAAAAAATAATATACTTTCATTCAAATTTTAATGAAAAATATTGAATATCTTATTAAAATACATCACAGTGAGAATTTTTTTTATTAGTTTTATAGAATAATAAATTTGAGAGATTGAAAATCGTGCTACTGAAAATATCAGATTAAGAAGAATATATTTTTATGACTTGCTGCATATTCAATCCAAATGTATAAAAAACGAAAAAAATGGTTCCTGATATTTCTATTATATTATGCAAAATTATCTAATATATTAAAATTTTCTGTATTTCAAAGAAATGGTGCTTCTATATTTACAAGAGCACAAACTTTTATAATCTTATAATAGAGAAATATTTCACTTGTAACAAAAAAATTATATTGAATAATTTTAATTGGATAAAATATAAAAAGAATATATTTATTTATATTTCAATAAATTTTCCGAAATAAAATATTTATATAATATTAAATATTCGAACAAATATGAAATATATTAATTCGTTTAAATTTATTTTCAAGAAATTATTTAATAATCAACTTTATATGTATATAAAATTTAATGATAGAAATATATTATGAAAAGCATAAATTTCGTTTAAAAATGATAATTACTATTAAAAAATATTTTCAAAAAAATTTCCATTGATTTTTCACTATTTCATAATACAAAACCTAAACCTGATATATATGTAATTTTATTTATAATTTCATGTGTACATCCACATTTACTTGTAATAGCAATAGTAATAATACTATTAGTTTAATATCTGTCTAGGTAGTATTTACTTCTTAATGTTAATAAAAGAAACACTCGCAAGCGTGTGTGCACGATTTCTTTAACAAAACGTGGTATTCCTGAAAATGATTGTGAGATTAAATACACTTTAGAAATTATTATATAAACATCGATGTAAATAGCAATGATCACCAAAGAAATTTACTATAATCATTAGCAACATATCATGAAGATTGGCTGGAACTTACCAGACAAATAGTTCTCAAATTCAATATATATATAATGCGATCAGAAGCGAATAACAAGTTATTTAACAATTTTTTTTTTGTTTTAATATGATTCATTCAAGCGATAATTGAATGATTGTAAAATATTTAAATCTTTTATGAATTGCATAGAGAACATTTTATATTATATATTAATATAAAATAGAAGCTAATTTTAAGGAATTTTATGGAAAATAATCTGTTATGTTCTGATCGTTTTTTATTGTATTCTTAAATCGCTTAGTTCTAATATGTGCAATTCTTTCGCACACAAACGCATGAAGCGTAGTGTTCAAATATATTATTAAATATAAGCTTTCATAATTTAAAATTGAAGGAGGAAGTTACTTTCAAATATTTTGCTAAGTGGATAATCTCTTGTTCCGCTAAAACTTCTTTCTTCAATACTAATTTAATTACGAATGCATTTAATTAGAGAATGATGCGCAATTAGCGAATAAATGTTTTTTTAAAAAAAATAAATCTGCTTAATGCCCAAATTAATTTTGAAATCACATTTGTGTGTGTGTGTGTGTGCGCGCGCGCGCGCGCGTGTGTGTGTGTGTATCAATTATTAAATTGTTTATATAAGATTTGAATAATTCATAAAGCACATTGCTATTATACAATACTTTTAACTTGTACGGACAACAAAAGATTTTTTATTTAACAATTTAAAAAATTAAATGAATGATATTACAATAAATTTAATATATTATATTTAATTATATCATATAAAGATACTATAGATATGATAAAGTATAAGGAATGGGAGACATGATTATTCAAAATTTTCTAATATTTTAAGACAATTAATATGTAGCATAATGTAAATATAAAGTTATATGCTTTGTGAATGTGTACACATTCATATGTCCGTAAAGTGTACAGATGTATTTATTCAAGACTATTAAATATCTCTTGTGTACTTTGATGGGTTAAAAAGCATTTATTTAGATACCTTAACAGAAATTATAAGTCTAATTATAAAAAATACATATTTAGTTATTACTTATTGTTTATTCCATTAGAATTGTACATTATATATTATTAGTTATAATTCTGTAATACAATTTTTTGTTTCTTTAATAAATAATTTACATATTTAGTATTTAAAATATTTTCTAAATTAGTATCATTGAAACAACATTTTTTTTGTAATTGATATTTTGTTTTAATTATACTTAGAACCTCTATATATTTTTTGTTATTGTATTCTATCATATTATCTTTTGAAGAACAATTAATATAACTTTTTTGTTTGATATAATAAAAGCAAAGATTTAAAAATTTTGATTTTTCTCTATAAAAGGGATTATCATCATGATAAAAAGGATTTTCAATAACAGTATTACTATCAAAATATTTAATATTATGAGTGAACAATTTTATAAAAAAAAAATTCATATCATTATTTATAGGAAAATTTAATTTTTCAAGTATCACTTCTGATAATAATTTTTGATATATATGTTCATTATGCTTTAAAGTACTGTATTCACTATTAATTGTCTGTAGAACATGTGTTTTTAAATTTTCTGCAATAATTTCACGTATTTCTGCAATTTCATCTTTCAATAAAATTAAACAACAATGTAAAACAGTCAATTTATTTTTACTTGTTAATTCTGAAAACCTATAAATCGCAAATTGTATAAATTCAACTGCAATTTGTCTCATATATTCTTCTTTGTGAATAGTTAAACTAAGTGCATGAGATATTATTTCATTTATCATAAACTCATTTCGGGAAAAAATTATCAATACACATCTTAAAGTCCATAAATCAGAATATTTTTTAATTTCTAATTTTTCATTAAATAAATTTTTTATTATCTTTTCAATGTCTAATTCATTTATATCAAGTAATGGTAAATGTTTTAATGTCTTCAAAATATAATTTATCATTGCTTTTAAAAGTAATTCGTTATGAATGATATATTCATCAGATAATAAATATTTAAGTACAATCTTTAATATTGGAATGCAATGTGACACATGATTTAAAAAAGAAATACTTTGATCAATGCAAGGAGAGTTCAAAATTTTATGTAAAATATCAATATCAATGTTATTTGTACGATTTATATAATCAACATACAATTTTGTAGAGACATCGATAAATTGAAAAAATCCTGGTTTTATCTTTTCAGAAGAGAGTAAATATGTGTTTTCATTAAAAGTAAATAAATCTTTATCAGATATCTCGTCGGAAATAAATTTGTTTAATTCTAAAAATAGCGTTTCTAATATGTAACAAATTTGTAAATTATTTTTTTCTTTAGACACATTGCTCCAAAGTTGTAATATTTTTTTAAATCGTAGCAGTTCTGTAGATTTTTTTAATTCATAATTTTTATATTGTTTAATATCCAAATATGAATTTATATTTTCAATTTCAAAAGATAATTTTTCTTTCAAAAATTTCATAGTTAACAAACAACCATGAATTAAATTAATATTTTGACATGAAGAGACATTGCACTTTAATTTCTTAAATTCAAATTTAATTTGTAAAAAATTTGTTAATGCTGTGTATGCTTTTGCAGCTAAAAGTCTAACATATAAAACAGGATTTTCAAGTAACATAAAAAGTAAATGTTTTAATTTTAATACATATTTTTGTGAAGAATAATCAATTAAATTACAAGCACTACTCGAAAATTTTGAGAGAAGTATAAGAATATGTACAATATTCGAATGTAAATATAAAGTAGTAGAAAATTTTGTAAATGTGAAAGAAAATCTATGTAATTCTTTCATAACATGATCTGCAAGCACAGGATAATGTGTAACAAAATGATTAATTGAATAACCATTTCCAAAATCTAATGTATCATTATAATTTTGTCCAGTTAATCTTGAAATTATAGCACTAAATAATTGTAGACCTGCATTTCTAATAGTCCATATTTCAGATTCTAAATATCTGAAACAAGTTAATGATATTTTTTCCATGTATGGCATTAATTGTGCATGTAATTCTTTATCAGCTACTAAAGCCTTTAAAAAATGCAAATATCTTGCCCATGGAGAATCATGTTGAGATTCTATGCTTTTTAAATTTATATCCGAAATATTATCAAGCAGATCTAATAATTTTTGTACTGCAAAATGTAAAAGAGGCCTTTCTCGTCTATCGTCGCTAACAACTATTTTATAAAACATTATTGATAATCCAGCAGCCCTTCTTGTAATGTTTAAAGAATGCATAGAATCATTTTCCATTATACGTAATATATATTTTTTTGGTAAATTAGAATACTTAGCTTGTTTGCATAAATATCTGAAATTATAAGAAAATAAAATAATTTAATTTTTTAAATTCTATTGAATTAAATTATACCTTGTTAATTGTGCTATTGCTGTACCAGCAGCTTCTACTACTCCTTTATGTCTACATCTGAGTAATACAGTAATAATAATATTAGCGGAACGTTTAATAATATCATCGGAATACATTAATATACCTATTTCACAAGCTATTTCACAGGATACCTGAATAAAAAAAAATTATTATTTTTTTTTATATATTATATATTAATTTGTTGGAAAAGATAAGATTTTACAATAAAGATTAAGATTTTTACCTTTAAAGACATCCAAATGCAAGAAATAAGTATATGATGTGCAGGAGTTAAACTTAAATCATCAAAGTTGAGACTGTCTATTTCACTATTTCTAATTGTTTCATTAATCGCTAATCCCATTTCCGCAAATGATGATGAATATTCTGTAGATTCAATTACGATATCATTCAAAAGAAAACATTTTTCAAATAAATTTTAATTGAAATTAAATAAAATCTACCTTTATTTTCAGATTTTGAAGAAAATATATATAAAAAGAAATTTATAGCATCTTCCAATAAATATAATATTTTTTCAATAAATTCGATACTTATGTTACAACTTTCTCGATTATTTTGAAAAGTAATATTTAATAAGGCAGTCATCATACCATAAAATGGTTTATTTTGAACAATTGCCTTTAATACATCTTCTTTCATCTTCATTAATTGATCCGTAGCTTCATTATATAAAAAATGTGAATATTTCAAATAATTATTGCAATCATTATGTAAAAAATTCAGAGGCAACCAAATTACTAAAATTGATATAAGAGCTGCACCACTTTCAATTTCATAGAATTTAGAAGAATTGCAATGTTTTAATGCCGTATGAAATAATATCTAAATTAATATTTTTTTCATTAAAGAAAAAACATCAACAAAATGTCAATTAAATGAAAAAGAAATAATTTCTTACCTCTTTCTCTGTATCAGATAAAATATCTTTATCAAAATAATTAAGAATAATAGAAGTAGATAATTGTTTAACATCAAGTGCAGAATCTAATACAAGTTTTAATAGAATAAATAAACTTTTTCTATTTGTAAGTTTCCAATTTTCAGTTGTTATTAAATTTTTTTTCAGAAATAACATACATGAAATATTTTCTACACTCTTAGACTTATTTATAATACATTCATCAGTAAATGAAAGTATGGCTTTATATAAGTTTAAACCAAGAATTTTTCTTTGATAACAAGAACCAATTTCAAAACAATCTAAAAAAAATTCGTGTAACCAATGTGTGATATATATTATATCATATATAGAATCTGGATTATTATCACACATTTTTAAAATATTAATATAAAATATTTTAAAATATTTTACAATTCCATTTCTCATGTAAATTGTTGTGCTATTTGCATTAAGCCATAGAAAATTTCTTATTGTAAAAAATTGATCTCTATTTTCCTTATATAATTTAATTATTTCATAACAATTTATGGCAAATCCATTCAATCTTACAATTTCATTATTATGATTTATATAACATTCAATGCTTGTTTGTTCTGGAAGATCAATATGCATTTCACAAGCCATTTTTTGAAGATGTGAACGTAAAAAATGTTCTTTTATATCTATGATAAAATTCCATAAATAAGGTAAAAGATTTTTATATTTTTTAATAATTGGTTCAAGCCAATGCTTACAAAGTAATTGAAGAGCATTATGATTTTGGCTGTAATTAAATATCTATATTTATATTTCAATTTTTTATTATAAAAATTTTTAATAAGTTAACTTACTTCTCTGATGATTCCCAATGATGAAAGAGATAGTTTATTATATGTCCAAATGCTTCCTTCCATTCATTTTCGTTTAATTTTTTTACAATAGCAATATAAACTTTTGTACCCGCTGAACGCAAATAATATTTCGTTAAACTAGTACATAAAGAAAGTAAAAAGTCATGAGATGTAATAATTTTAGTTTGATTACAAACTTCGCATATTTCTGCGAGTATATCGTACTTTAGTTCATTTTGCCAAGAAATTGTATTAACACAATGTTTAAAGAGATATTCCGAATATCCATTATATTTTTTTTCCATAATTTTCAAATACATATTAAAAATAAGCATTGAATTTTGCTTACTTATATCATTAATAGCATTACACCAATTTGAAAAAATAATTGTTTCAAGTTTTTGTTCTAATTCTGAATATATATTCCAAAAACTTGTATGCATGGTTCTTTGCAAGCACATGTATAATATTTTATATGCAAAATAAGAATATTTAGTATATTTTATACAATGTTCGAATATAAGATTAAAAATAAGAAAACAAATATCATCAAAATATATTTCACTACGATTAACTTGTAAATATCCATAAGCGCAAATCAATTTAAATAGTTCTAATTCGGGGATGTCATATTTTTTATCGAAAATGTGTAGTTCGTTATGTTTAGAATCTAAAAGGTTTATAAAAGTTTCTTTTAAAAGAACCAAAGAAGATTGCATTGATAATAAAGCAAAAAATGTGTGAGAAGCCAATAGAGTTCTTTCTCTTCTGGTTTCTGTATTTGGAATAAAAATTTCTATGATACATATAAGGACTGGTTGCCATTGTTTCAAATATTCATCATCCCAGGATTTTGTGCATGATGAAGTAAAATTTATTAATTTCTAAAAAAAAAAAACAATAAATTCAAAATAATACTTCATGCTTAGAATAATATAAATGTAATAGATGTTAATTAAGATAAGCTAGATCAATAAAATCAAAAAATACTAACTCTGAAAATAGTAATATCTTCTGTACATGTTTTCAACTCTTTGATTACATAATTCAATTCCATATTTTTTGTACACATTTTGTTATTATAATACAGAAAAAGAAGATTCAATTTAATAATTATATATATTATACATATATATTTGTTCCCTATTCATATGAATTTGTATTTGTTGTTTGAAAATTAAAAACTGCTTTTGAAGTTTGTGCAGTTGCATCTGTTTTGTTTCCATCAAGGCTGCATGTCCTGCAATTAATATGTAATAATGTCATTTTTTAAAGTTTTTTTCTAAGTATCAAAAAATTAAATTTAAAAATAATAATTAATAATTAATTCCTGCAAAGCCATAAAACATTTAAAAATTCAAAAGATAATTAATTATTGGTTTAAATGTAAACAAGCATATTATTCAACAGCCATAAAATTTGCTTTTGCATAAAAATCTATATAGCAAAATGATTGAAAAGAAAAAAACGTATCATTTTTTTTTTTTAATATAATGGATTAAGGTTATCACATCATATAAAAAGACAATATTATATTACTTGTAGTCTTTTTATTATAAGTAATAAAAATAAGAAAACTTAATTCAGAAACAGTTCAATAACTATTAGATGAATTATAATAAATTATAAATTACAGTAGCTAAATTAGTTTATATTATTTATATTTTATCTTGTATTTTGTTCTTCAGGAACATACCCCCCTTGCTCTAGCTGCTCTTTGAATTTCAAGTACTCTCTCTTACGATCAAAGTGTTTTACCTAGTAAAGTAATAAAAAAAAAATTTAATGAAAGAAAGATAAATTGATAAAATTATTTTTTACTTTTATATTACTAATAAACTGAAAACTATAATATTATTGGCCTTTAATTATTAAAATAATATTGATTTATAATTCATAACTTACCCATAGTGCAGGACAGAATTTTTCATATTGATCTCTAAATTTCTTACAATCTATTTCTGTTTTACCATCATCAAGACACTTCCAATATTCATCTCTATGATTCCAACATTTTGTACGATCTTCTTTATTTGGAAAAGACATTCTAAAATAATTGAATATTTTTTATTATTATTTATAATTAATTAAATTATTATCTAATTGTTTACTTTTATATTTTATATCTTTTATTAAGTATAAAATATTATTATATATATTAAAATTTCAAAACTTCATAAATAAATTTTTATTTAGTGAAAATGGAAATTAGAATATTGAAATTAAAAAAATATAAGTTATACTTACCTATATTAAATGTTTTGAAAGTTACTTATATTAAATATTTAAATAAGTCAATGAAAATTTTCACTTATAAATTCTAAATATATTATAAACTTATTTTAATAGAATCAAAAATAACAATCTTAAAATAAAATAAAATGATTACATAATCTTGCTTATATTTAAAGTATAATTTTGTGCATATGATAATTCATGTGTTAAAAATCATAGAAAAAATTTTGTTTATACATTTATAAATTCAATATTTTTAGGAATATAATTTAATTTTTTAATTTATTAAATCAAAAATAATATTTAAAAATAAATAAATAAATTTTATTATTATATATTTTTAAAAATTTTTAGTAATATATAAATATATACAGGAAAAATAAAATAAATAAATTGAAATTTATTATTTATATATTATTTTTATATAAATTATAAAATTATTTTGTTCTTATTCTAATAAAAAGTTTATAAAACTATTGAAACTAACCTGTCTATTAGTTTTCTTGTAATAAATTAATAAATATTCTACATAAAATTATTTAAATTTTTGTTCACGATATTTTCTTTTTTTATTTTTTAAATTAAAAATATATATGCATATATTTTATTCTTTACTTTATAATGAAACATGAAATTTTCACTATCAATTATAATATTCTTGTAAGCATGATTTTATTATCTTTGTTTTATGTACTCAAAAAAAAAAGTTTATTATTTAAATTATAATAAAAAAAATTAATTTTTATTGAAATATCATACAAATTAAACATATGTAAGTAAATACTTTTATAATATTTAATATTCTCACATGTTCACATTAAATAAAGTAGAATCAGTGTTGCCAATCTATAAATTAATTCATAGTTTTTAAGAATATGATTTCTAACTAAATTTTTTTATTAAGTAATAATAAATTAATAATTCAATTACTAAATCTATCTGTAATGCTTAGATGTATGCATCACTCTTATTTTATTGTATACAAATACATATTTATTAATATATAATTAGCAACAATTAAAAATTTCAAGTTTATAATGCAACATTCAATTTGATAGATAAGGATGAAGCATTTAACATTATTAATTCAAATGTATCTTTCATATAGTAAAAACATGTCAAATTTTTGTATATAATTCTAGAAATAACTGCTTAGTAACTAATATTGTTAATTGCATCATCCTATATATATAATAGAAAATTATTATCTATGTAAGATAAATTATAACTAAAACTATAACAAGACATGTAAACAACATTCCACCAACTAAAATAAATCCATCTTGCCTTGCCCTTTTTTCTATTAGTCTCATTGTAGTTTGTGAAAGTCCTAATGTATTTCCAATATCTATTAATCTTTTATGAGCCCCTTTTAAAGTTATTCTTTGTGATTTCAAACTATCTAAAATACTACTTCCACTTTGGAGAAGATCATCTACACCATAAATTGCATTTTTCAAACTATAATTATGTTGTACATTATGATCTATCATAATATCAACATGATCATTTGTAGTAAATGTTCTAGATAATAATGCTTCTCTTTCAGCTTCTTCTCTTTGTCTTTTAATAATTTTGTTTCTCCAAGAATTTAAAGCAGCTGTGAGATGACGGCTGTCATATTTCAATTGATCTACACGCATCTTAGCATTTTGCCTTTGAAATATAGGACCCTTGAGACATAACACATCTAATTTTTCACAATTACTGAAAACATAAAATGATATATCATTTTTATTAAATGTATCAATAAATTATTTGTACAATTTTTATATAAAAAAAATAAAAATCTTTTTAAGTAACTACCTGTTGATGAGATTTATCTTTGATTCTATGCTGTTTTCTATTTCTTTAACATCTAGGTTAAGCGTCTTTTTCTCAAGTTGTGAGAAAAGATGCTGAGTTTCCTGTACTAATTTGTTTGTTTGGTGATATAATGGTTCCATATTTATTAATAAATAGTTCATTCGTCTTTTAACATTCGCGTAAGTTATGACGTGTATGTATAAATACTATTGTCAGGTAAGATATCTGTAACAATGCTTATCAAAATCTATTCAATAATTTAATAATATAAAAGAAAAAAAAATACCAAAAACTATGAAGAACATTGCGATATATTAAAAAATAGTAAAGTTTGATAATATTTTTTATTTATATAATTATAGAAAAGTATAAAATTTTTTTATTTCTAATCAAATGTAAAATAATATCTTCTGCTTGAATGAATGAAAACTACTGACATCTTTAGGTTTAAATTGTATGTAGGACATATTTTTGTAAGTGGCATGAAATTTATATTTATAAATATAATTAAAAAATTCATTAATTTATTAAAGTTTTATATGATTTGTATAATCTATTATAATATATTATAATTTTTTTTAATTTACAGTGATTTACTTATAACATGATGTATATTGACTGAGAGTGGTAAATAAATAATATTTGTTATATTTAATTTCTTCAAAAAAGAAAACTATTATTTTTATAAATGGATATCGGTGAATTACTGTCATATAAAGTACGTTTAACAAAATATTATATTTATAATATGTTTCGAAATTGTTATTATGTAAAATTTTAACCTAAATTTTAACTTAAATATATATATAAGATATTTTTAATTGTATTTAATTAAAATTATATTATATTTAATTTCTGTATTTATTTTATATAGCCACCAAACACACCAAAAAGACCAATAGCAGGAGAAGAAGAAGATGAAGATGAATGGGAAAATGCTAAGAAACCAAAAAGAGTAATTAAAACTCCATATCATGCACGTCAAAGACAACCAAGAGAAATTGAAATGACCCCAGTTAGAAGTAATGAACCTCCTACACCTATCAGAGCTGCTTTACCTTCACCAGCAAATGATGTAGTTGAACCACAGCTTACAGAAAAAGAAAAACAAGATATTTTAAAATATGTAGAAACTGAAGCTCCAGAAATAGAAGCATTAGATGAAGCAACATTAAAGAGAATGGTTCTTTTATTTGAAAAAAGAGCACTTAGAAATCAAGAAATGAGAGTGAAATTTCCTGATCAACCAGAAAAGTATATTATTTTCAAATGATATAGCACGAACATGAAAGATCAAATTAAAAATATATGAAATTAAGAAATAATTTTAATTTTTTAGATTCATAGAATCAGAAGTGGAATTACATGAAACTCTTCAAGAAATTCATGTTGTTGCAACTAATCCAGACTTATATCCTCTGATGGTAGAATTAGGTGCTGTACCTTCATTACTTGAATTATTATCTCATGAAAATACAGACATAGCAGTTGGTGTAGTGGATCTTTTACAAGAACTAACAGATGTAGATATTTTACACGAAAGCCAAGAAGGTGCTGATACATTGATTGATGCTTTGTTGGAACAACAAGTTTGTGCTCTTCTTGTGCAAAATTTAGAGAGATTGGATGAATCAGTAAAGGAAGAAAGTGATGGAGTTTATAATACTTTAGGTAATTTTTATTTTAAGAATTTGTGTCTGTGTGTGTGTGTCTATATATATATATAATTACAAATTCTTAATATAAATTTATTCTTCTATGATTTATTCTTAATAATTTATTCTTATATATATAAAATATGTTATATGTTTTCAGCTATTTTTGAAAATTTATTAGAATTTAGACCAGAATTATGTGCGGATGCAGGAAAACAAGGATTAATGCAATGGCTTTTAAGAAGAATTAAAGCAAAAACACCATTTGATGCAAATAAACTTTATGCTAGTGAACTTTTATCTATTCTATTGCAAAATACACCAGAAAATAGATTACTTCTTGGTGAACTTGATGGAATTGATGTATTATTACAACAATTAGCAGTATGTAATTTAAAAACATATGTGTATATATATATATATATATATATATATGGTACATATTTTTTTACTTTACTTTTTCATGTCTGTTTTTTAAATAAATTTTGTTTTGTTAGTATTATAAAAGACATGATCCTCAAACAGCAGAAGAGCAAGAAATGATGGAAAATTTATTTAATGTATTATGTTCAAGTCTCATGGCAACTGTAAACAGAGATAGATTTTTAAGAGGAGAAGGATTGCAACTTATGAATTTAATGTTGCGAGAAAAAAAAATGTCTAGGAATGGTTCTCTTAAAGTAATTATTAAATTAGAATTTTTATTTAGTACATTTTATTAAATAATTTAAATATATTCCAGGTATTAGATCATGCAATGAATGGACCAGATGGAAAAGATAATTGCAGTAAATTTGTTGATATTCTTGGATTAAGAACAATATTTCCTTTATTCATGAAAACGCCGACAAAAAATAGAAAGAGAATGCTTACTGCAGAAGAACATGAAGGTAATAAAAAAAAAAAATAGTTTTTATGTTATTTTATAAATTATATATATTTATTGCCATTGTAGAACATGTAATATCAATTATAGCAAGTATGCTAAGGAACTGTAAAGGACAACAACGTCAAAGGTTATTGAGTAAATTCACGGAAAATGATTACGAAAAAGTAGATCGATTGATGGAGCTTCATTTTAAATATCTTGAAAAAGTGGAGGAAGTGGAAAAAAATACTAAGGTTAGAAAAAGAAAATATAAATTTTTATATGTTTTACTTTAAAATAAGCATATATAAATATATTAATTACAATATGTTTAATTATATTGCATTTATAGGAAGATGAAGATGAAGAAGAATCATACTTAAGAAGATTGGATAGTGGATTATTTATTTTACAATTGGTAGACTATGTTTTGTTAGAAGCATGTACTGGTTGTCCACCAGCAGTAAAACAACGAGTTACACGAATTTTAGCTCAAAGAAGGGCATCTCTCAAAACAATAAGACACATTATGCGAGGTACATTTTTTCACCATAATTTATAACTATTATATATATTTAATTTTGCTATTTTTATTAGAATATGCAGGAAATCTTGGTGATGCTGGAGATTCAGAATGGAGAGAAGCAGAGCAACAACACATATTGCAATTAATTGATAAATTTTGATGTATACTTTTTAATGAAGGACTTAAAAATTTAAAGTTTTCTGCAATTTTAAAATTTTGTCTTATAATAGCAAACTTATTATATAAACATTTAATAACATATGTAAAATAAATGAATCAAAACATTCACTTTTATATACAAGGATTAAAAAAAAACCGTTTGTAAAAAATTAAACGAGTGTCATATATTTTAACAAATTTTTATTTTATGTGCAAATGAATTGTGAAGTACGCGTTACTTTAAATTATGCGTAATTAATCGATAATTTTATTGTTTTAATTACTTCATATCAAACTATATGATTAATAATACTATAGTGTACGATAGCGTGAAATTTGTACTCAAAATTTATAATTTATTTTAATTCTTCAACACATAATTTTTTCACCCATTGATGAAATATTTCGTAACGATATCATAGATGTACGTTAATAAAATGGGTGAAAATAAAGCAGTGATCACAAGTTGTCATTGTTCGTATCATGTCAGTTTTGAGCAAGATAGTCCCAAGTTTAACCGACATTGTCCGTCCATACGAATCGGAAGATACCGTTTATAACTTTCAAAATTATTACGGAGAAATTTTATTATCAGACTGTTTATGGAAGAGTTGCTATCGTAGGAAAAAATTTGGATTTTATGAAAAATTTGTCGTGAATAGCGGCTATGTGAAGTACTTTCACCGATTTAACGATCATGGCGACATATTTCATTGTCAGAAATATTTTTCTTATTTCGAGTTCATCGTCTGCCAAGTAAGTGAAAATTCCACGTTTTATTTAATTTTTTATGATATTTAAAATAACCGGTTAATAACTCGATGTACATAATACGAACTAAAATGAAAAATATATAAATATATTAAATATGTAAATTATACTTTAACGTACATAAAATAATTCAAGAAATGTATATTTATGACTAAATCTAATATTTATTTTGTTAAATTTATAATTGATATTATTAAAAAAAATACGCGCGTTTTCTCTCAGACTTATCGTAACCATGGTGATCCACGTGGACGCATGCGCTTTCAATTAATATACTTAATCGTAGCACTGTCTTCTTAGTTCAACTATAGTTGTATATTTAGTAAAATTAAGAAGAAAAGTTTAATTAACTGAGTTTTACAGTTAGCTTCAATTACGCGTTCGAAATTTTTGTTCTTCACACATTGTATATTAGCTTTCTGTTCTGAATGTGGTACCAAACAGAAATATGTTATGATATATTTAGGGAGGGGGGGGTCAATGTTCGGTGAACGATCGATCGCGATTGGCTTAGCCACGCAGCTGCCTACCAATAGAAGCGCGTGCTGCGCCCTTACATGAAAGTTTGCTGCACGAGACAAGCCAGTTTGCTGTTGCAAGCTTCGGAGGTGCGGTTGTTGGTTTCATTAGCCGGTTCGTGGTGTTTTTGCTGTTTTTTTAATTTCACGTTTTACATTTTGACGTGTAAAATCAAAAACATTCGTGACAAATATGTTAAAAAAAAACAATACTCATGCATGACGCGAGTGATAATTTTGTGCACCCTTTTGTGCTGCAATTATAATAGACTGAATTTGAAGAAAACTACTGCAAGAAAGTGTCGATTTCTTCGAGGAAACAACCACGGTATGTCATCTGTCAATTTCATCCCTTATTTTTTGATTAATTCATGCATGTTATTGATTGATATCATGTTCTGATTTGGAGTGTGCGTACGCACGTGTGAAAACATATTTATAAAAGCATTATTTTGACTCAAAAAATTAAAACTGAGTTATCAATAACTTTTCAATATTTGACATTTGATGTTTAGAAAATATTCTGACACATAATTCGTTATAGCATATATTAAAGATTTAATCTTTATATTTTCCTTTTTTTGTATATATATCATACACATATAGCATGTATATTTAAAAGAAAAAATTTCAAAAAATTAATATTTATGATTATCGACATCTATAAAATAATCTTCTTATTATTAATCATAATTTTGTACATTATAAATTAAATTTTAATATTTATTATAAAATTTTACAAAGTAATCAAGAAGATTATCCATTTAATCATATAATATGAAAAAATTATATGTATAATATAAAATATTATTATATTTTCTGTTAATTCGTTTCTTTCGCATTCGTATTCCTAAAATAACCATTTTTTGATGTCGTAGTTTGAAAATGAATTTTTATTCGTCATAAAAAGAAGGAAAAGATATTAAATGATTAAAATTTATACAATAATTTTTATAATTTAATTAGTTAATTATAATTTTATTTATAATTTAATTAATTAAATATTTGACAATAAAAATTCCAGTATAAATATTGACAATAGCATTCCGGTAATTTATTAAACTTTGTTATAAAATTATATCATTTTAAATTTGTTTATAATGTTTATTTACGTGATTTTAATAATTATACATATACACATTATATATATATTTGGATTCTTTAAATATTCCTTATATATAATGAACATTGGACAATTCTCGTTCATAAGGTTTCTTGTTGTCTCGTAACTCCAGTTGAACAACGTCTTTACTATTAAAGCCAATTTCGCGATTGCGTACCTGCTGTGCATCGATGACGTAACATTGCTCCTTTCGATTTGTTGTTATGTGCACGTGCTGCGAAGCAACGTTCGTCACGTGATTATTGGAACTACTTTTAATAAATATATATGTCATTCAAGGTTATTTTCTTTAATATAATTAGTGTTAAAATTTTTTTTCTTTTTAAATCATTGTATTTTTTATTTGAAACATTAAAAAATAAGGCAATTTGAATAAAAAATTAAAAAATTTGAAGTAAATTTAGAAGACATGCATGAATTTCATTTTCTAAATTAAACTGGAATTAATTATTACAAAATCTGAATATTTTTTTTCCAAAGGATATTATAATTATTTCTGTTTATTTCTTATAGTTTGATTATTTTCGTAATTATGTGTTATCAGAAGAGAGATAAAAAAGAAGAAATTTAAAAGCTATTTTTATGGTGAAAATCAGATGTAAAGTTGTACATAAAATCCTATATTCATATTTTTAAAATTAAAATTTTCAGATTTATCAATAAATTAAATTTGAAATTTTTTCGACAGAAATGAAATGATATAAATCATAAATGAAGCAGAAAGTAATTGCAAATAAATGTATTGAACAATAAATGGAAAAAAATAGATAAAAAGGATGAATATATTGACAAGTGAAAATTTTGTGATTCCGATATATACAACAAACATTTAATTCCTTTATCGTGGTTTATCGATTGTCCTCGGTGCAAAATGCACGTTGGTGCATCACTATGAATGCTGCAGACAACGTGTAACCTTGAACGAGTAGCTTGCGAAATCCAAATAGAGTCCGGACAAACAAACCCTATATGGTATTACTTTTCAAAGTAAAATTCATTATCTATTTCTCTACACGGTCTTAATATCCAGAAATTCTTTTGAATATTTGTATTTTTTTTCATCAAATTTTTTTCATTTCCAGAAAATCACTGAATTCATTTTCAATTGATATTTTTCTTTTTCACGGTTAATAAATCTTTATTTAAAATATTAATAGTTATAAATAGATTTTAACGATTATTATTTTCAATTATATCTTATCAATCGATCAATAAGTTTATAAATTTCGTCTTTTCGAAGAAGTCAAATAATATTTTTACATATTTTTTTCAAAAGAACAGCGTACCTTGAAAAGACGGTAGATTGTAGGTAAATTGAAATACTTATTTAAGAAGGATCCAATTAGGATGCCATTCCTGGAATTGCCGCGGCCAGGTTTACGCCATTATCGATCAAACTGTCCCAGATTCGCGAATTCTTCGTTGCTGAAGCGTTCATGCACAACGCTTCGGCTATCCTGTGTATCTATAGTCAAAGCTTTCTGTTCAATTTCGATAAAATCACTACATAAATCTTTACTTCCTTAGAATTGGAACATTTTTTTCAATTCGTTAATCTTTTTCACCCTGTTTTTTCTCTTTAATACATTAAGCAAGAAAACAATTTAACTTTTAACTTTGTTCTTAAGTTTGATCTTGTCATTTCACATATGAAAAAAGGAAAAGATGACCGAAGAGTTTCTAAGAAATTTGGAAAGCTCATTCCCTCTATGCTCAAAGTAATTCAAGGCTGAAAACGGTCTGGAGTCGAGTCAATTAGCCAGAAGTGGATGGAAATCAAGGGTGGTTAAGGAATCCCTCTTACGAGCGACTTTTTCCCACCGATTCTCTTCGCACAGATTTTTTTTCTTTTTCAACTCAACCTTACTCCATGTCTGCTCTCTGAAAGTTCGTGTCTGAAAGGCTCGTGTGGCCACTCAAGTCGCGAAAACGCTGAGCGAGCTACTTAAGAACGAGTGAGCGAGCTCGACTGTACTGAAACGTGTAAGTTGCTTTCATGAAATTTACGCTAATTTTTAGGTCAGATCTGCGCCGAATCGAGTGTTAGTGTCGAAAGATATCAGGATGTTCTCTCATCACGAAATCTTGTTCGTGCGCTCTCCTTTCACAAAGAAATTTGCATAGGAGAAATTTGCCATAAACATTTCATCTGTCAAGAAGATTTGTCAGCCTTTCACAAAGCCTCTACTATTTTTATGTAACATGGTCTTCTCAAAGATAACTTCCAAACTTTCATCATAGGAACCTCATTTCTTTTCAATTTCTCGTCGATCAGCTGATCTAGGGAAAAACGACTCTTTTGAATAGAAGCCAGTGTCCTCGTTACCATTGTTGGATCGTCGTTCTCAACTTCTTATGTATCCCCGGTCGAGGCGGCTTTTCAATCTACCCCTTTTGTTTTCCCCACTGCCTGTTTATTTTCTGCACTCTTTGCACGATCTTATAAGAGAAAAGCAATCGTATACATGGGTTTTTGCAATCGAAAGAAGACAAGTACGAGATTATAGTGATTTCAGACGATTGCATCACGCATATTTGTTATCCATTGAATTACGCATCTTCGACGTAAAAACCCCTTTTCTTCGGTTTTGCAATAATCGCGAGTTTCCGTGGGCAGTGTCGTGTGCGCGCATCGAGGAATAACCACAATTTGCATGCACACATTGGTCGATTATGTCATCGGCTCGACGAG